AAGGAAAACATTGTTGTCTGAAACACACTGAAAATTCATGTCAAATAAACATTTTTCCCTCCAGCACGTTTTGTCTCTAAATGGCCACAGATGTCATGATGGTAATATACTAACTCACTCGTGGAAGTTACAATAAAACCTGATTGTCCTTTCCTTACATGCCAGATGTTTTGCCATTACAGTTATATGAGTCCTGTGTCACTTAATTTAAGAACTGTGGTGAATTTTATTTCAGACACATCAAAAATATATGACATAACTCTCCACCGGGCACAAGAACTGTTTACTTGCATTCCTACAAGAATGCAATCTCCCTTCTACACAAAAGACATTTAAGAGAGAAAGATTACAGATGTTATGAGATTTACCTTCTACAGTTAACCATCCTTTACTTTGTTATCACAGCATTTTACATTCAGAGATCTACCATAAGGGTAAGTTAGCCTTACCATTATTTATATACTCCAGTAACTTGCAAGGCCTCGCAAACTTTGCGGGTATGCAGCAGGTTCCTACACATCCTGGAGAATTGCCTGAATGAACCATTCATGTATCCAAAGAATTTCACAGTGGTGTGGCTTTGGTTTAACACAATTCTCTTAGTTCAATCTTAGAATACCTCCTGGCTGAACATTGTGTTCTTCAGAAGTAGTGCCAAAATGTCCAAGCTGAGGGGCTTTTAGCAGTGAGAACAGGTGATGAAAAAGCTTGTTATGATATTGGCTTAGGATGGAGCTCTAGTTGATGGTAGCTAGATGTGGGCCAAGTGTGGAAAAGTGCCCCATTCAGAATGATGTTTTCAGTGGTAGCACCTTGCCTCCCTGGTTTAATTGATGGTTTACTTAGGTGGGCACATGATAATAAAAATCCCAATTTTGTTTTGCTGCTGGTTTTGTGCTACTGCTATGAGGGGGGCCATGAAGGATGAGGTGGTCTACTTTGTAGTGTCTAGATTTCCACAAGTATCACTAATCTTCTTTGCTGTCTCCAGTAGTGCCTCTTCAATGATGAGCCTTCAGTAATTCATCTCTGGTTTCGTATCTTCTATGCAGTGAGCCATCACATTTATTGCTGCACCAGTATCAACTAAAATGCCACTTCCTTGTTCTCATATATATATATATATATATATATATATATATATATATATGGTGAAAAGGACGAATATTCAGTTTGGAGAAAGATATTTGAAATGTCTTTGAAAGGGTAATTATTTGGTTTTGCTGGTGAGAATTTGTTGCAAGCTGTGATAAGGCATGGATGGAACTGTCAATTTCAATTTCTCTTAATTTCTATTCTTTCCTATATTAAATTCAGTTCATTCTGAATTTTGAGATTATCTGCAGTTTTGGCTTCAGTTCATCCCAAGTATTTAGATTTCTTAAAAGTACATATGAACATTCAGATCTGTTTCTGTGTACATTTCTCCTAATGCACTTACAATGCATGCCTAATATATACATTTTTGTGCACACTCTTCCCCAATATATGTATTTTGTAGTTTTGTATTTTTAATTATTGGTTAACTGTATTGCAAAACTGAGAAAAGTATTGATTTTACACCAAAAGTTTTGGTTTACACATTGGTTTGAATATGCAAAATTATGCAATTTCTCATTAAAATGCAGACTGAACTAATTTCTCATTTCTAGCTGTGGTTCTCTGCAAGCATTTCCACAGTGGTTCTGATATCAGACAGTATTACAGAAAGCTTTTCCATGACATTGTGTTGCAGAGTTATTCTGGAGACTTTTTCGTTGCTCTCATTAAACTACTGGGAATCAGAAATCCTTGTTTACTGGTTTATTTACATTTCTTTTCAGTAGGTAGTGAAAGTCAGAAGACTTGTTTGGTATCCAATAGTGTCATTCCATAAGTTTAAATAATACCAATTGTGCCCTGCCAGATCTTTCCATTGAAAAAGTGGTTGTGCACCAGACGTGTACTTGAGCGAATGTAAATTTACTTGGATTCTTCTCTTGTGCATAGTTCATAACCACACCTCTGCCAGCATAGCATCATTTGTGCTGTCCAAGGATAAGCATCCTTATATCATCTGAGCTGTTATCTCGAGATCTCTGCAAGCACACAGTCATACCATGCAATATACTCATAGTCTGTTCTGATACTCTTCAGTAGTTTGTTTGCATTGCTGGGCTTGATGGGATCGGGTCAATTTCTGTGTTGTTTGAAATGCCTGGGTGAGACTAGCTCTGCCTTTTCAAAGGCACCTTATCTCTCATGGCAGGTTATGTTTTGAAAAATTGATGTAAATCACTGCTTGCTAAATGTAATTGTGTAGCACTACGTTCACTGCTAAACCAGATTGTAGTGATAAAATGAACTTCTACTGCAAAAAGAAGAAGTAGGAGTAGTAGAAGACACATTTCTAGCCTTTCAAGCTAGTATTCCTTTCAGGACCTCCAGCATATAATGTCAACAGAAAGTTCTGCAGGGGAAACTGTGCAGTATCACTAACTGTATAACTAAATTGTTCAGGAAAGTAGTGCTTAAAAGAGAAGTTAGCTTTAGTTTTATATTGCCTTAAGGCTGTAAAAATTAGCACACCTCTGTCTGAAGGTCCTACAGCTAAGCTGCACTCAAAATGGCAGCTGTCACGCCTCACATAAACCTATGTTTACCCGCTTTAGGGAGCTTGCTTAATCTAAAAGATGACCTGAAGTGAATTGGGCTGCAATTGGAGACTTGGACAGCTGACTGGATGGATGTATCCATGATAAATACTAAAATATTGTAAAGAACATTATATGTTGGTGACTGTTTTAGAATATGTATAGAACATTCGATACGATGCTATGAATAAAGACTTAAATTTTTAATTGCTGTAATCACCCCCTTTGCCACTAGAGGCTGCTCTTCATCGCGATGAAAAGTATCACGATGAAAAAATGACTTGGACATACTGTACTTGTTCATTCCTGTTGTCACAGCAACAAGTGTCCCTCTGGAAGAACATGAGCCCCCTGGAGTTGCATTGGTCCTTCACCATCACAACCTGTTGGTTCACCTGCCTCCGCTCTGGCCCAGGCAACTGAGGTAATGAGAGGGAGCAGAAGATGCTTGCTCACTGGTTCCCTGCCTGATGGACCAACTGCTCCCATCCTGATGTCTTCACAGACTTCAGCTGCTCAGCAGCCCTGCCATTGTAGCCAAGGGTCAGGAATGCTGGGTGTCGCAGCCCAAAGCACCTGGGGAGCAACAGGTTGGGGAGGGCTGCTGAACTGTTTTCAATGGCAGCCTTGAAAACATACGTACATACATGACAACTACTCTTCTCCAAGCAATTTCGCCTCAAATCCCCACTAAGCCATGAAGCTCACTGGGCCAGTCACTCAGCCTCAGCCTAACCCACTGTGAGGATAAAATGGAACTATGTAAGCCACTTTGGGTTCCTCTCAAGAGGAAAAAAGGTGGGATGTAAATGCAATGTAGGAGCAGCAGCAGCATTCTTTTAAAAAAAGGGACACATAACTTGTTGTTTTTAAAAAATTGAAACAATTTATTTTCCTCCAGTGATTAAAAGACGAACAACTCTGCATATTATTGATCCAGTATTTTGTCAGCTTGATTACCCATGTGTGGAACTGTAGGGCATGTGACCTGTGTCACCGCAGCAACATTGTTAACAGGCGAGTGACTCCAGATCCGGACACAAAGTCAGAAACACTTGGCTATCAGCTCCAGATTGCCCATCAGAGCTTTCTGACAGTGGCTGCTGGGCTGTAGAAAGTCTTCCTAGGATGACGGCGACTCTTGATTACATAAATTAGGGGTGGACAACAAAAGTACTACAAGTCCCTGCTGAACTTGCAAAAAGAAAAAAAATCTAAATCCACAATAGTGTTACAGAACACGAAATGGAACAAATTTACTTTGTCTTGAAATTAGGTCTGACCCTTTTCATGCCCTACAGTGGCTCAAAGCAAACTAAATTCGACCCATTTGCAGTCTTTAAAGTATTTTTATTCAATATTTGCATACTTTTGCTAATTGTGGGGAGGGCTAGAGGGTGAAATGGCCTCTTCACCCACTGCAGTAGCCCACCGCTGGTGTACGCATTGAAGCTGACACAGGGAAGAAATGCTTGCAATAGGATTTGGTGGTCTCAGGAGGGCAGCTAGCTTTGGGGGTGTCCCCACCAGCCAGCCGGTCCCTCCACCAGCCAGCTACCTCTTCCTCCTTTTGAATGTAAACACTGTGGCAGTAGTACCAGTTTCTCCTCCATCCTGCCTAGTAAACTCATGCACAGCCACACTATGACAACCCCATGGCGTACCACTTTAATTTTTTTTAAGCTTTCCTTTGAGGAAGCAGAAATCTAAACCAACCAGATGCTGCCTCTGAGCACCCAAGTAGTGACAGAGTTGTCTTTATGTCACTCCTCTATCCTCATTGGCCATGTCCCCAAAGGGAGCATTTGATTGGATTATATCTTGCTATTCAGGGGGTTTCTTCTTCTTTCTCTTTGAATAGCACCTGGCTGCACAGGCTGCCTTGGCAGGCTATGGCTGTGCTTCCTTTTGCTAGCAGGGCTGGAAGGAGATGGAAAGAGCTGCCATTGCTTGCCACCACCTCCTTGAACTTGGCTTGTTAGGGCCCCTGGACTTGCTCTCGACAGACTGGTCTTTGCCATGCATCCTGATGCTGACTAGTAAGGCATCCATAGCACTTACATCAAAAGAAGTGCCTAGAATGATTATTGAAAGATGAAGATAACTAATTACCTTCATGTGAACTTAGACTAGATTTGCACATGTAGCTACCATACCAATGTCCATGAATTGCCTAGCTATATCTTCACCTATAAACAGAGACACGAGCTGCCTCGATCAGACCATTGGTCTAGTTCCTTCAGCACTGCACTTGTGGCAGCCTTCCAGTGATCCGGGAAGAGGAATGCCGAGGCTGCTGCCTATAGATTTATACCTGAGATGCTTGAATGTTGCAGGTTGAATCCTGCTTTTAGTCCTTCCAAAGCAGACCTACTGAAATCAACAGCACTGAAGTGAGTCACAGCTACTCAAGCCCATTGATTTCTATGCATTGAGTCTAAGCAGGACTAAATCTGGATGTCATTCAGAATCTTCTATATTGAAGCATGTACTGTTCCTCTAAGTTATGGCTTCTCCCACATCTCTTGGGACAACGTACGTGGGCTGAAAGCAATTTTTAATTGGAAAAAAAAAAATAACAGTCGTCCAGGAGAACAGATTATGCTTGAGGCTTGTTTTATAAAGCCATGCTTATTTCCTATATAGCTTCCTTTAAGAAAATGTTTCTGATCTAATTTCTCCCTTTGGAATGGATCACTGTTAAGGTATGTTTGGAAAGGCCTTTTGAGTACATGGAATAGTATGTTTTTTGTATAAACAAAGGAATTGCTTTAAGAGTTGAGTGTGTGATCAATACACACAACAGCGATCCTCACAAAAAGGATGGAGGTCTTTTTGTTATCTTTGAGATACTGATAATTTTATACATTATAAGTAGTCCCACTAAAATGGGAACAAATGTATTAGTAAATAAGAAATGCTTGTAAGATCATTCTAGAATTGTGATCTGGCTAGTTTGAACATACATATCAATAAATTAATATATCCCAAAGTTGGCAGCATTATCTGGAATTAAGATTTCTACAAATACCCATGTGGTGGCACTTTGAAAATAAAGTCCTGAGAGTTGATATGGAAAAAAATAAAAAATGTTGCAAGGCCAGGTCAGTTGCCAAGCCATGTTGCTATCTCTTCTCGGTGTTTCTTTAGCCATTCAATATTGCTCTTCACAGTTTCAATAGCCTGTTTTCTGGATGCTTCTCCAGCTCCAGCGTTCGGGTATTTTGCAAAGAAATTTTCCATCTTAAGAAAAGCAAACACATGAGTTAGTGTGATCTGACTTTTCTGGTCCTGGGACATTCCCCCAGATGTCAGGGTATACCCTCCTCTCCCAAAGCCCAACTTCCTTACCCTAAAACTCACTCCCTGGAATCATGGACTGGGGATAAAAGCGGACTTCCTGTCCCAGCACTTGTATCTCCAGTAGGACCTCTCTTTTCCCTCAGTCCAAATCTGGGACCAAACCCCCAATGGCAGAGGGGTTTGTCTTTTTTTAATAGAATGCTAATAAGGGAAATTCCAGACACGGAATTCTATGTGCAGTTAGCTCTTACACACAGCAGAAAGTAATAAATGCAGATAGCCTAACATAGCTATGTGGTGCTTGACATGAAAAAGATGCCCCACGCTAGGCACACGCTAACTGCAGTTGAGATGTAATGCTAAAGCCTAGTTAGAGAGGAAGTAGAAGAGGAAGTAGAAGAGGAAGGAAGTGTGTCTATGCTCCTCCTCATGTCCACATTGGAGGTGAGTGAGGCAGGGTGATGAGCATGAGTCCAAGGCTCCCTTTGGCTCATTCAGGAAGCTCTAAATTAAGGATGAGCCATGGCCAAGATGGAGGCATGCAGAATAATGGCCTGCCAGTGCAGCGAGGGGCATTCCTCAGAACCTGAGCAGAATATTGTTTGCTGATGCTCTCCATCTATGTTGGTCGTCAAATCCCATCATCCATAGTCAGCATATGTAGGTGCTCAGCCTGCATCTTGCTGAACAGGGGTGTGGAACCTGAGGCCCAGGAGAAAATCTGCCCCTCTGGGGGTCCCAGTCCAGCTCTTCGAGAGATGGCCACGCCCCCTTTTCTCCCACTGCCCAAACGCTTGACGGCTTCCAGTCTTTTGTGCCATTCTCCCCACTGTAAAAGGTTACAATACCTGTTGCAAGACTTTGTTACCAGCAGAAAGTGCTTAAGCTAAATATGCCTGGTTGTGTTTTTTGTGTTCTTGGCTCTCTCGCCACTGGCATGCAGCCCCTGGAGCTTCTCTTAAATGGAATGAGCCTTTGAGCAGGAAGAGGTTCCCCACCCACGGTGCTGAGGAGGGCTGCCTATGGCTCCCTTGTGTGAATCCTTGTTGTATGCTAAGTCCCTCTTTGCTTGGCCTAGACTTGGTTGAGTGTCTTTAAAAAAACAGCCGTCGCAGTGAGGCACCAAATGTTAACCTACCCATGCAGCGTGAATGTGGAATAAGAATTACTTCATTGGAACAGACTAAAGCAGTGCAGCACCAGCTTTGGGGGAGTTGATGGGCACGTGAAATTGTGGGAGAGCTGTGGATACTCTCACAAAACAGCAGCCCTTGGAGGCATTTGTAGAAGGGCTGCCATGATGGGCAAGACCAGTCACAAAATACTGATTTTCCAGAAGTCAAACTGGTGAAAATATAAGGGTGCAGCTCTGTAGCCTCCTGATGTTGTCTGGGGCGGAAGGCAAAGCATTATTCAGAATCCCAGCTCCCATGTCTTATGATTTTGGAGCTAGGACTCTGAAGGCTAAGCCCCTGCCCACTTCCCTTTGGGGAGGTCATTTCCAGGCCATCTACCTGAGGTTGTAATCACTACTGTTAGGGGAGAAAAAGGTGTAAGAGAGGAAACTAGGGTTATTCCAGTTCCTAGCAGTCCCCCAGCCTCCTTCCTTCCTTCCTTCCTTCCTTCCTTCCTTCCTTCCTTCCTTCCTGTGTCTCATCTGGGAAATGGTCACCACTGTCCCTTGTTCAGGGGCATAAGATGCATGAGGGAAATAAGTATTTGCCCTAAGAAATGCAGCCTTCCAGACAATACAAGACATGGGTGGGGTCAGTACCTGAATAAATGTGGCACTGGGGGAGATTCTTTTAAATTAAAATGCATCTTAAATATGAAAGTAGAAATCAGGAGGAGCAGAGATCTTGGGAACACCAAAAGAAGCATTGTAAATCTGAGGACTAAAGAACTGCTCAAGTCCAGCTTAAAAGAGAACTTTGGTTAAGCAGTGTAAATCCAGATGAACCAAATGTGAATCAGATAGGTCTTCGCTATAGCCCCAAAATGGCTGCAGCAGTACTAGGAAAATAAGATAAAATACCCAAATACAAAGTAAAACAAACAAGCCATGAAGCAAACAGGTGAAACATTCCAAAAATCAGTCAAAACAATCTGTTAAAATAATAAAAATAAAAGATTACAATGCAAGGGCCCAATACAGTGGACTTTTTCTGTTGAAATATACATTGGATCAGCTTATGGGTCAAAGACCTGTTTAAAGAAAAATGGCTTTTGTTTGCTGGCTGAAAGTCATCAGAGGCTGAGCTAGTCATTCCAAGACGTGGTAGCAGACCCAGAGAAAGTCCTTTGCCTTTGCTCAGGGAACCTTAAATTGACTTTCAGCTGAGCAGATGAAATTCTGGACTATGCCCTTACCTGCCAAAGCTGGAGATCTGTATTGAACATTTCTGTTATTCTTGATGCTAGGCGCCCAAGGTTTCTGTCATTGAGAGTGTATCTGGAAAAAGGACATAAACCTGTTTAGGTATACCACTTACATTAGGTATCTTGGCTTTTAAAATGAAATATTGAACAGAGAGGAATGATACATATTGTAAATACTTTACTATTTAGAATAGTTAACTTGCAGTGGTTGTCGTCCCATGGTTCTCCCCAAACCTCAGCAAAGCATTAAGAATGATAGTTCCAGCTTTTAGTCCAACAACCACAGAGTATTTCTAGGGAGTAAGCTATCCTGGGGTCAAACTAGGTAGAATGCAGGTTTACAAATAAAAAAATTGTGGAGCCCACAGAACTTGGTTAGGGGGCAGGAAGCGGATTCATAGGGCCGTTCCCATGTGGTCTATGACTTTCATCAGGCCCCCAGACTCTGATGTATGCAAACACAAGGCTCCTCTAGCTCTATTTGGCCAAAGCACAAGCTAATCATGCATTTTGCTCTTTGGGCAGGGAGAATCTGTGACCTGACAAGGGATTCTGAGCCTCACCCTCTAGGATCAGGCAGCAAAGTGCCTTTGGAAGGGTTCTGCATAAACACAGATAACTTTAATTAGAGTGTGCTTCTTTCACAAGGAAGGAGGGAGCAAACTGAAGCCATTACATATTCTAGTTTTTACCATACTATAGTGGGCCCGGTAAAATGGAAGCAATTATATTTATGAATAACATTTTTAAAGAAACTGAATGGTTCTGGAAGAACATGCACTGATGCCAGTACACTTACCTGGCAACTAAATATTCCCAGTTGATCCGTACCCAGTCCCAAGCCATCGTCTTGCCATAGCTGTTATAGGAGATGTACCTCAAGACAGTGAACACGTCTTGACTTCTAATGAGGTTTGAATCATAGATGCACTCTAAAAATCTAGGAGCAATCAGATGCGAAGCCATGGCACAAGATGATTAGTATCTCATTAGAAAATGAGCTGCAAACTGCATCTTGAAATAGGTTTCCACCATGCCTCATTTGTAAGGAGTCAGAAACCTAAATAAAACCCCACCTGTTCTCCCTCTCAACTAGCCTGTTTTCACAGCTTGTGTTTCCCTGCATGGAGAATCCACAATACCTCTGCGGGGAGGGACATGGTAAGCAGGAGACACTTGATGCTGCGTCATAGCATTTTTTTTTTCCAAATTATTCATTACACAGACTTGGCCAAGCCCATGTGGCTTCCTGGTCAGCCTATGTGAGCTGAGTATGTGTCATGAAATACATCAAATGCTCCTGCTCAGCTGTTTCTGGGAAAAATGGGTAATGCTGCCCGGATGCTACCTGTTGATGGGCATGATTGGTGATAGGGCATTTTGAGGGATGGCACTCCATCCTTCCCAGAGAGGATCTCCTAGCCCTCCTTTGCCTTCTCTTCAGGTTGAGAACTTATATTTACCAGAGCCTTGGGCTTCTTTTTATGATGGATTAAAGAAAAACTGGAATTTGCTTGTTGTTTAATTGAATGTTCTGTGTTGGTATTTTATGTTGCTTAAAGAGGGGCGAGGCTTAGGAACAGTTAGCAGCCATTTCTTATACTGGACGCAGATGGTATGTTAGACATACCTGTTCAATAAGGTGATGTTTTTCACAGATGCCAGGCCATATAGCAACTTTTCCTTTTCTTGAGCTAATGTTGCATTTTGATATTTCTCAAACATATAATTCCATGCTTCTTCATTACCAGAGTTCTTCATTCCATAGCGGTACACCAAGAGGCGGAGATTTACATCTAGACTAACAGTGAAGGAAATGCTGTGATTAGAGAAGATGTGCATCGTTCACCTTATTTGCAAAGGTGTGGCATGCATCAAGGGCATTTGACAGTTGAGCTGTATATCAATCAATCAATCAAACAAACAAACAAACTCACTTTGTTCCTTTTAGCCATTCATTAAATAATTGAGATGTATTAGTCAAAGTCTCTAGGTCATCCATGCTGCATGCAAAGCCTAGGACTGTCACACGAAGGAGACTGGGGAGAAAAGGAAGAAAAACATCTGTTTCATTTGTTTTGAATATGATGTAAATAAATAAAGTAGAAACTGATGCAACTACATTTGCATAGCTAAGGCTTGCATTTCTAAAATGGCAGCAGTGCATAAAACATGACAAAACAGTTTTGAAACTGAAGGGACATCAAGAAACACAGTATGGTTTGCAATATTAATTTGCTGTTGAAAGGGGGAAAGCCCTCAGATCTCAACATTTTTGCATGTGCTAAAGGTTAGTCCTGAGGAGATTTTCCACCCAAGGCTGTTAATCAGCTGTATCTACTTTCAGTTTTGTCCCAGAATTGAGATCAGGGCACTACTTTCTTTCCTGCTACATAACCTCTAGGTGGCACTGTGGTATAGCAGAACAGCACAAATACACAAAAGGAAATTGCACTTTTTTTCCCCTTTCATAATTAAATGCTGCATTTTTCTTGCTGTAAAGAAACACACAGAAAGTGCTGGTTAGAAACAGAAGCAGAACCAGAAGGTGATGACATGTTCTAAGATCCCATAAATAACTGTGAGGACAGAGTAATACGTGATAAGTGCCCCATGTAGAAAATTCTGGATCCTGCACTTTTGTTATACAAACATCGTACACAGTGCTTAAAATATATTAGGTTGAATCCAGCTCTCTCATTGTGTTGCCAAAAGCAGTTGTGGCAGCAGAATCATGAGTAGGAGAGGATGGTTCCCTCTCCTTCCACAGTCCTCAAAATCTTCCCTGGAGGGCTGGGAAAACTCTGGAGCAAATATGTGGGTAGTGTGGAAAACCACCACATAAAAGAGGGGAAAAAACCCTTTCCAGGCTAAGACTTCTGCTAGCACAACAGCAGAATTTAACCAATATATGTGATTCACCAAAATTATTTTCAAAACCTTCCCAACTTCAACTTTCATCATAAAAGGTAGCATTTGAAAGCTGGAGGATATTACTGTTTACTGGAGGTAGGTAACCTTTTCTCCATGAGGGGCCACATTTGCTTGGGGTCAATGATTCAGGGTTTCCATGCCAGCTGTGGGTGGAACCAGAACTACCCCCCTACACTGTCTTTTTCCTCTTACAGAGGAAGATATAAGGCTGATTTGCATAACACAACAGTCTAGCATAGCTTAATTTACTCATTGGGCTCCCATGTCATGTTGTCACCTGTGCAGTTCTGCATCCCTCCCACAGACTAGTTGGCTTGCTGTGACTTGTTGTCATGTGAAACCAGGCAGCAGGAGCTGTTTGAGAGCTGGACAACACTCAAGTAATTCATAGTTTGTTTTATGGTTGCTTGAGGGTTGGATAGCCAAGCAACCATGGGTATCTTGCAGAAAAGAGCTCCCAGGCATGCCTGATCCAATGAGACATCTTCCCCTGTGGGTAAATTAAATCACAGTGGCTTTCATATCATGTGAACCAGATCATAGCATGGACTGATGGTAACTGAGAGGAGAGAGAGAAGGAGGAGGAGGAGGAGGAGGATAAGATCTTCATCACGTCTCCTTCCCTGTCATTTCCTCATTTATACATACACAGAGCCAGCTGATTAGTATTAAAGAGCTGATCAGCTGTTCAGCACTGATGGTTGATTTAATGCTAATGAGTTTGGCTGCTTTACTGTGCACAATTAAGATGTTTAAATCCCATCATTATGTGACATTTATCTGCAATTTCTGACCTTAAAATAGAGAACTTGAGAGTAATGGGAGATGTAAAGTACATTTGGAACATATAAAGATGTGATGAATGAGAGTACTCAATGCATACACATCTGAAATAAGTGTTTCACCTTTTGATATGATCTCCATCATTCTGCCATCCCAGCTGACTTATTAAGGGCTTGACTAGTCTCCGAAAGTATTCCTGGAATAAAGACATAGCAGCTATAACAAAGGTGAAGCTTCAGATAATGAGCTTTCCCTTGATTTAGTACTGGTTTTTCAAAATCTGAACAGAAATAGATAAATAAAAATGAAAATAACAAGGCAATGTTTCAGATAAATTGCTTGTTAAGATCAGGCAGTATGGAAAAATAGCCTTGTTTATGACATTGGTTGTGATCGGATGCCACAGAATTTGGAGTCTCTGGTTTCATCCCATTGAGCTTGGTTCTTAAGTAAGGCCATTGAGATAAATAGAATTGTGTGCGAACAGAACTCAGAGGGTGGACCCCCTTGTCTGTTTTGCAACTTGTCCTCATGAGAGTGATAGAGCACGGAGTCACTTTATTATTATTGTTATTACTATTATTTCCATTTCTATACCCCAAGGCTGAAGCTCTCTGGGAGGTATACAAAAAAGCAGTATAGGTAAACTAGGCTAAGTTTAATTGATGACCCAAGCTAGGGTGGTTGCATTTACTAGATCTTTGGTAGCAGCTTGAATTTCATTAAATCAGGTGAGGGTAGGGCATTGGCAAAATAAGCAGGCTAATCGTAATTCCACTGGCACTGTATCTGGCCAGATTTTCCCCACTGCATGCCCTCCAGCTTCACACACTTATCACAAAAGTCTGTATTCTGATGTATATTCAACAAAACTTGTTCTAATGAAATGTTGGCTATCTAGTACAATCTTTCAGAACTCCTGGTAATAATAATCTCTTGGGTTCATGCTAAATACGAAATGCTCAAGGTTTGTTAGACTCTGTATTATTAATTCCACACCTTTTCCTGGAATGATTGTGTCATTTTAATATACAAGGTGGATGAGGATCAGATCACTTTTAAATTTTCATACACCAGCAGTGCGAATACTATGCTGATTTGAGCATTTAAGCCACCAAGGAATACTGTTGCTCCAGAAGGCTGCTGAGTAAGCATAACCCCTTGGCCAGCAGAACACTTCCAAAACAAAGAGTATTAATGAATGGCAGCATCAAAGTTGTGATTGCATCAACTTAGTTGTTGTTGTTGTTATGTGCCATCAAGTCATCTCAAACTCTTCTAGGGTGACTCTGATTGAAAGCGCTACGAAATGTCCTATCCATGACAGTCCTACTCAGCTCTTGTAAATTCAAGGCTGTGGTTTCCTTTATGGGGTCAGTCCATCATATTTTCAGTCTTCCTCTTCTGCCTTCAACTTTCCCCCATCAAGATTGAGGTGCATTAGATTCCTACAAATAATCAGATGTCTGTTCCACCTGATGGCTCCTGGCTTTCTGAGCTGTTTGATTGTATTTTATTACTGTCTTTCTGTTTATTTTTATCCAGCTGCTTTTAAGTGTATGTGTCATAACTTTGAGTGTCCTGTTTTGGGCAGTGAAATGGGTTATAAATATAACACATGTGTGCAAGCACACATGTACACACATATAATAACCAGCAAAACTCCTATTTCAAACTTGTTGATGCATTTTGCCAGTGTTCTTTCCCACAGAAACTTAAGAGTTGTTGCAAGAAAAGACTACAGATCCTTTAGCACTTAGGTTATAATTTTGAGAAATCTTTGTCGTGGGGAGAAGCCATGATAGTTAAGTTTGTACAGAATTGAAAAGCCTGCTGTACACATATACCTTTCGTGTTAATACATAATCTTGGACAATAGGTCTTTGACACTGAGAATTTAGTGTTATTGTTACTTTCCTTTAATCCCATATGTTACTATGAATCTCATTCTCCAAGTGCCCGTCCCTGTGAGGCCGAAATGGCAGCACACATGCACAAGAGAGGGCTGGAGGAACCCAATGTTTGCATAATTAAAGAAAAACAGTAGAAAACAGGACTGGAAAAAGTCCTGTTTGGGCTGAGAATGCACAGTGGTACCAAGCGCTGAATCTGTGTTGTGTAGGGCAGAAAATTGGGGAATGAAACGAAGTATTATGACAGAGTGTCACTTGTTGCCAGGAATCCTGAACTGGTCAGAAGCACTCTACGCTGCACCATTTTGATGCAGTCCTTACTTCTAACTCATAATATAGATTTCAGAAATACTGTAATACACTGACCAGGAGCAGTCTTTGGAAAATTATGCAGACTTTCAGAGTAGCTCTATTAAACACAAAAAAACCCAAGGCCAGGCCTAAAGCCCTTCCAATTTTATAATAGCATGCATTTCCTCTTCCTTTCCTACACAACGTTTTAATTGGCAATCTTACCTGAAATTTGGGATACAGTTTATCATCATCCTCAAGCATGTCCTGAATATAGGATACAGCTTCTACTGCTCTTTGCCATGGTATGTATTCATTTTCTCTTTCCAAATATTTTGTTAGGTTCAAAGCAAAAGAATAATTCAGAAGGTTAGCCCTGAGGAAAGAAAAAACAGAATGTACGCTGTTAGATCTTCCTTTATTTTCCGATAGCACCCAATAATAATTCAATTTCTTTCTGGTTATAGTTGCAACTTCCCCTTCCCAGTTTTTCAGTCTGTCTTCTCCAGTGTTTGGGACTGGACACAGGAACTCATTTACCATTGGGCTGGTGTCCTAAAGTCAAGATACATTACACAAAATTGCTGTTGCAGAGCTCAGAAGAAACTGATGGGTTGCCTGCAAGGCAATGCTGGAGATGAGTAATACATCTTGTAAGCAGTAAGAGACAAGCACTGTCAGCATTATCCTTCTTTCCTGACATATAATTATCCAGTGCTGTAAGCAGTTATAATGGGATGTAGGTGAATGACAAAATAGGAGGATCACCTTTGCTTGTGCTTTCAGATGAGTTTCAGAGGTCTTGGCTATAAGTCCATTGAGAAAAATCAATTAAATTGGTGGACAGGGCCTTCTAAGTGATGTCCCTATATACCAGGAATTACCTTCCAGTTCAGGTTCACAAGAACCCATCAGTACAGGCCTATATGTAGGTTTAAAAGATTCATTCATCCCAAGTTGGTATTCCAAAAATAATAAAAACATGCAATGGTGTGGGCCGAAGGCATTTCAACTGAACCGAATGTCACATTCCAGGCCCACTGCTTTTGCTGGGGTTAACTGCTGGGGTTTATTTACTTTTATTGGATGGTACTGTTGTTTTATTAACATGTAGTGCTGTATATTGTATTTTTATATTTCATAGAAGCCACTGTAGGATGGCTTTGTCCCAAAGGATGGCTGAAAGATATGTCACTCCACGAGCCATGAATGGCATGATGAGCCTTACATGTGTGTAAAGCTGCTGCAGCTGGCTAGGTTCTGTATCACCAGACTTATTGTCAGTGTTGCAGAAGGGTATCAACTGCTCATGGGTGAAGTTGCCTTTTTGAGTTTATTTTTCAATGCTGGTAGGAGTTGGTGGAACTGTAGCCAATAGGTTGGGGAAGAAACTGCCGGAGTCTGCATTTGTCTGGTCTTCTGCAGCCTACCTTGCATTGACAACATTGCACGTTTACACATGACACCAACAGGGACTTTGACACATGACGCATGGAGCATAAAAGAAATGCAAGAGTGTCAAAGATGTGACTTTGAACAAATCATACACATCTCAAGATTTCTAATAATGCAGAAAGCTAAGAAATGGAAGCTATATTGTTACTTTCTGTAGCTTAGTTTTGTTACTATTGTCCTTTGCCAACTCCAAAAGCAATCCAGGCATGTGCATTTGAACAATGTATTTCTCAAATGCCACAAAGAGGAAGTAAGGCAGACAGACTGTAACTGGCTTAATTCCTCACTCATGTGAAGCAGTCAGCCTGGAAATTTGCAGGCACTCAGGAGAATTCAGATCGGGTTGTCTGGCTTTAAGATTAAATCAGGACACATCAAAAGCAAGACACAGATCAGCTCTATGCCTGTTGGGGAACTTGTAATAAGACTGTGATTGCCCTCAAAGTCTGTCTTGGAGACATGCCCAGTTTCTTGAAAGATCAGACTAGCATATGGAGTGGGAGTGGGGGATCTGTCCAGCATGACATATGTGGGAGGCAATGGGACTTGTATTCTAACCATCCTATCACTCCCCAAACCCTATGATTAGAGAAGTCAAACATAGCTACTGCAATAATTCATGGAGCTTTACATCAATATAATTTCAGAATTTGTTAGCTATTAGGCATCACAGCAGCCATATGTTTAAAGGGGCTTGTTGTGTCGTGTGTTGTGCCTGAAGAATTTGGAATGTGGTCAACGAGAATGCTAGAAGGAAAAAGGTTGAAGCAATGGGGTTTTGTGCTCTGTGTGCAATATCCCCCACCAGCGTCAATCCCCCACCAGCACCAGTATTCTTCCCTTAGGCAAAGATAACTGATAGAAGGCAAGTAGGAAGGTAATAGAAAGTAGCCTTGCCAATGATAGCCGTGTTCCTGCTCCCTCCATGTGTGATGATGGGCAGAGAGATTTCCCTTTGCCCCAGTGCAGGGCAGAAGAACTGTATGACCCTTGTTATCAGTAGAGGGAGATTGTCTCATGTTGAGAAGTGCACAACAGGGAATATTATCTCCCATGAAGTGTGCTCTTCCATCTCTCAGCCAAGCATGCATGATGGGCTCCTATCAGAAATAATGTGATCTCTGATAATGTGATGCACCCTTCAGAACTTAGCTGCCCATGGAATTTTGCACTGCTCCAAGTTGCAATGTCCTTCTCAGCCATCCAAATCTGTCAATAATCTTATCTATTTAAATATGTACTTTGAGGGGAAGAGTTTATATCTAAAAACAATAGCATTTTAGAGGATTTTCGGAGGGGGCATGCTTTTAGAAGAACATAGTTTGTGGTTCACATATTCAATGTGAATATGGAGCCGAGTTTTGGTGAAAAGGTGAAATTGAGAGAAACTGGAAATAGGTTGATTTGTCCATCTAAACCAGTCTTCTTCAACCTGATGCTGTCCAGATGTTTTCAGCTCATTTTACTACAGTAAATATAGCTAATGGCAAGGGATACTGGGTATTGTAGCATCTAGAAGGCACCAGATTCAGGAAGGCCGAGCTCTGCCTCTCAGATCCTGAAAGCCTCTTCTGTTTCTCCTAGACTTTATCTATTTAATTATCCAAAATTATTTTAAGGTAGTCTTTAAGGATAGAACTTTCTCAAGGTAGTGAAAAGGATAAAACAATGCAAAAAATACCTGTATAAATAGGCAATGAATAAATATGCTATAATGTACAACAAAATACCAATGAAACCTGTAGTTCTTGAACTATGGAAAGTCCAGCAAAAGCAGATGGGTCTTCAGAGCGTTCCTGCAGAACTACAAAGAACGGACCTGATGAACCCCTGATGGAAGCTGATTCCAGAGTGAAGAGCCACCACTGAAAAGTCTCACTTGTACTCACCAGATTAACCAATATTTGTGGTGGGCTGAATAGGAAGCTCTCTGATGATGACCTCAGTATATAGGCAGGCATACAGAAGGCAGTCCTTTAGGTAAATTATGCCCAAGCCGTCTAAGGTCTATGCCTGGAACTCCTTCTCAGAAGGCCTCTCCCTTCTTTCAGATCTCACCATTAAAGGCTGTTTCCCTGAAGAAACCCTTGGTGTAGCCCCTTACCTTCTCAGTTAAATATGATGCTAATAGCTAAACCTCAGTACTGCAAGGTACAAATACTAACATAACATTTGTGTCCATGTGAATCTGTTTCACCTACCTGGCCAATGCAAATGCATCATCTAAAAGGCCAGCACGATCAGTCAGATGAAAACTCTAGTGGAAGAAAAAGGAAAGAAGAAAGCTATTTGTTCTCCGGTGGGTAACATGAAGTCTGCAGTACCACAGGGCTGCGGACCAAAATAACCCCTTGAGGGGTCCCAATATGGCCCTTCCAGGTTCCCCAGAAAGCCATGCCCCTTTACCTCTCCCCATTTCTCCAATAACCCATTGTCTGGCAGTCTCCCATTTCTGTGTAGTCCGCTCCTTCCTCTTTTGAAAGGTTTAAGCTAATCTTCTAAGGCATGGGTCCTCAGACTAAGGCCTGGGGGCCAGATCCAGCCCGCCATGCCCATTTAACCGGCCCACCCCACAGGTTTTGCACTCGCTGGGCATGTGCATGGGTGAGCACAGGCGCGCAGCTTGCTCGTGAGGAGGGCATTTTGGACTCACTCAGCGAAAACCATCTCCTTGCAAGCAGGCTGGTGCCTCGCCCTGCTGAGCGCACGTTTGCACGCGGCCGCCCCCCGCCGCCACCCCCTTGGCAGCCCACGCCCACCGCTGGCACGTGTCAACTGGCCCCCTGTTGAAAAAGTTTGAGGACCCCTGTCTAAGGGTTGGTTATGGCAATAGGAGCTAAGTTAACCCATGGCAGTATTTTTTGGTTTTCCGGCCCCACCTTTTTGCCTTTTCCCTGCCCACCTGCCCCCTAAAATGGAAGGCTTCCCCCAGTGGAATTCAGAAAGAGCTTCTGCAATCCTGCCATAAACTACCAGATAAATCTCAGCAGACTGACCTGATGGTTATTCACCAAAATATTGGCTAAGTCATTCCAGGCTTGCGTTTCATAGTTGACACGATAAAAACCAATGTGCTTCTCATTCACTTTCAAGAAAGTATTGGGAATGCGGCGAGGGATGGTAATTCCTGTGGAGGTAAAGAAGCAGCTATGAACAGCTTATAAAGATGTGACTTTATGAAATCTCCACGTGACAAGCTAGTTTTCAGCTGTGACAGATGGAAATGTGTATTTCCAACACTGTGAAGTAGATGAGTTTATTGTCGATTTAGGGGCATTTGCTGTCATCTCCCACAATGACATAGATGCCTGAGCTACCAAACTTTTTTTTTAGAGAAAAGGATAGGTCTCTTTCCAGTTTCCTTTGATCCCTGTGAAAACCTGGTTAACATGTGTAATTTGGTATAAGAACAAATTTAGGCTGGGCAAAAGAACTAATATCAGCTCTTATTTCCAATCAATTTTATTTGTTCATGCCATCCCCTGGCCTCATTCAAGGAAATGTGCAGGGGTAGGGAAGTGTTTTCAGATTATGTGATCTGCTTATAACGCACCCTGCTGTGTTTCCCCATCACTTCTGCTGGAAACCTATTAAGGAGTGAAAAATAGAGCAGCTGCAAAATGGCTTCCAGTCCTAGAAGCAGAGCTGAGTATGACTGGAATATTTCCCAGTGTAAATTTCTCCAGCCCCCATTCAGGTTTAGACCATGGCATTAAGGTGGAGGAATTTAAGTTTCCCCACCTATCTATGTTCTGTAGTTCTTCCTCCTCCATGGGAAAGTTGGACAAATTAAAAATAAATCCCATGAATTGCGTTTTTTAAACACTTGGGACGGGGGTGGAATCTTGAAATGAACATGGGAATAGAAAGCTTAAATTCCCCCCTTGCGGACTGCCATCGTACTGACACAAATAGGGCTGCATGTGCTTACACTCTTCTGCCCGTGATTTGATGAGCACTTTTTTTGTTCAAAGACAAAGGGAAATTGCCCAGCCCCAGATATGTGGGTGGCCACCTTCCAGAGAGGCAATGGAAATTCAAGCAAACCAATCAGTTGCCTTGAACTTGATTATGCTTTCTTCAGGTAATTCCCGCATGTACCTATTTAACATAAGGTTGAATCCTGCAATGAGTGATGGGCCAAGTCATTGTGTGTAATACAAAATATTGTACCTATGGTTGTATTAATTTAGTATTCATTTCTATACCATCTGTAGCCAAAGCTCTCTGGTGATGTACAACAAAATAGAAAGACAATAAAATGCAATAGATAAAAACAGCAAGAATTAAAATGTATTCATAATAACATAAAGCACATTAAAAGACAGTATCAGGGCAATTAAAAAGACCCAGCCAAGAGTAAAAGGCACCTGGCTAATAGTATGTACATGTTTGGCCCAACTGGGCACATCCTTTTGTTAGAGACATGTTCTGTAGGAGAGGTGTGAGAATTTGAGTTTCATATACCAACCAACACCTAGGAAGAAGGCCAAATGGAAATGGCACTAAATCCAGTGGTTTAATGGTAAATATTGAAGTGCATGTATTCATCACAACAGTCCCTATAGGTACACCCCCAGGGAAGGTCCAAAACTGTGGTGCTGTGTTAATCTATCTATCTCTATCTTCCTCTTTCTGTAAGATATGTCTTTTCCATGCCTTTTCGAAAATTTGATGGGTCTTAATCACCCATTCAGGACCACCCTCAAATATGTTACATTTTATCAAGGATTACTCACATGGATTAACTGAAGTGGAGAAAAGAATTTCTTCCCCAGCTACTGTGAGGACTGTGGCTAAACTCAGGGGGAATAGGGAAGTGGAGAGTGGCTGGCAGGTAAGGCCATCATCCTTGCTAATCAAGAAGGCTGACATCCTTGTGCTAGTAGGTTCCATACAGCCTTAAGGACCTGATCCTACCAGATCTTGGAAGCTAAGCAGGGGCAGGGTTGGTTGCAATCTGAATGGGTAACTTAAAATGTTGTGAACTGCTTTGGCTACAGCCAGTACAGAAATATGATGTAATAATGATATTGTGCTAATCATCATTAAGGTCTGCTCAGAGTTTCCCTTGCTGCAATCGACTTTGAATTATAACCACTGGAAAAAAGGAAGACCAAGCTGCAATAACTCTTACAGCATCTCTTTCCTAAAATAACCAACCTGTAGATCATTGTGCGGCTTTTACTCTCCCAGTGTTGTTTTTGTTTTTTCCTTTCCACTCACATATATCTTCTGTATGTTTTTCCATTCTAACCCTTTCCCTTGTCCCAGTTCCTACAGATATATATTCATTTTGGGAAATCATAGCAAGGAGCCACATTTTTCTTATTCCTGGATTTGATGGAATGTCACTTTACCTTAAATTCTTAGTTCTGCTTTTTGCAAATGTCAGCATTGTCAGCATGGAATCATTTCATGTATATTTTATTTTAACATCCCACCTTTTAAGGCACCTGAGTATAAATGTCACACAGCTATCTATTAAAGCATGCAAAGAATGAAAATAACAGTAAAGACAAGTATTTAAAAGGAAAAAAGGAAAGCAGAGGTAAAACAAGAAGCACCTGAAGACAAACAAGACAGGATCCCTTAGACTGCATGCTTAGACTGGAAGAAAGTCTATGATTCCCAGCATTTCCCAGCTTGAAGGGTTGCTAGGAGTTGTAGTCCTTTTTATCTAACCTTGAATAGGATTGTACTGTGTCCCAGAAAAAAATAGTTACATATCCCCCACCCCCCAGTTGTATCACCACCTGCTTAAACTGCAAAGGTGGGCAATCAGAAAAAGCCTTCTTGGTGAGTGGGCATGTTCATATTAAGGCACGTAATTTGCTTCACCTCCCACTTCACAAATAACCTGCTCCCTAGACCTTGAATTTTGTTTCAAAAACTAGTCAAGGTCAAATAGTCAGTTCTAATCAATACTCTGGCCACCGTATTCATTTATTTGGTTATTTTATGAAAAAAATAAATATAATAAATTATTACATTTATATCTCGCTTTTCTCTTCTTAGAAGAAACCTAAAACAGCTCACACGATTCTCTCTTCTTCTCCATTTTGTTCTCACAACAACCCTATGAGGTAGGTAAGGCTGAATGACCATGACTACCTCAAGGTTACCTAATGAATTTCATGACTGAGTGGAGGCTTGAACCCAGATCTCCTGAGTCTCAACCTAATATTCTAACTACTTCATTTTAAGTTTCTGGGCTTAAGTAGTTTTCAAGGAAGCCTCAAATACAACACACTGGATCATCAAAGCTGGATTTTACTAGGACATGGATATCTTGTGTCAAAGCTATCTGTGTTTTTAAACTCACCCTTCTTCCTATTCTAGTACTTCCTTAAGAAAATGCAAATCAAATCATTACATCCTGATCCAATTAAATAAAAATTGACTTGGGAATGTGTTTTGTCATTTAGCTTTTGCTAGACTAATTTAGGATGCCTTTAATTGTGGTAAGAGGGCTTGTTAAAAACTGAAATGAACTTTCCTGATTTAATGAGTTGTAGTTTCATCTGTAATTTTCTTAGGCACACTGGATATTAATTTGAAATGTTTATCACTGCATGATATATGTCACATGCAGTATTTTTGCTAACATGTAGTATTCTTTTAACTTAGTTTTACTGAGTTAAATACAACCTGGGATCGTGGCTTATGAATCTACAAACCTTTGACGGCTTAAAGGTCATCTTTATCAGTGATACTAGAAATTATTTTACTTAATGTCTGTCTGGATATTGTTAGCATGTTTACTGACCATTTGATTCTAAAAACCAAATATATATACAAATAAACCTTGTTAATTTGATGTATAGATTTGGGAAAAGTGACACATGAACAAAAGTGTCACTTCCTGAAGAAGAAGCACACTTATGCATCTTAGAAGAGTCAGAATGGTTTATAGGGAGATTACAAGAAAAAAAAAAATAAACTAATCATTTACACATCTACACAATTTGGATGTTACGGTAGTTTATAGAAGTACATGTAACTAAATGTAACCTTAGTATGTGTGACATTGTGTTGATATAGTGCTCAAAATCCCAAATCCTCATCTCGTATGAATTAGATAGTATAAGAAAGTGGGATACTGAAGCTAGCGAACTAGAGGGGCTCACCTAACACAGCATCAAATAGATGGAAGACAGAGAAGCTATAGATTCCAGTTACAGTAGGTCCACTAAAAAATATCTGAAATGCCTACTCCAACTGGGTTCACGATGGCAGTAATAAGCTAGCTAAGCAAAGGAGAACTAATTCATGTCCAACTAGACCTTCACCATTTTCTTGCTTTTTCATGAGGCATATTGCATAGATATACACTGCCTATAGATGCACACTGCCCATGATTTAAGATTACCTGATAATTCTGATTTATTGTAGAATGTTGTATTGCTTATGTTCCCTTCATACCATTTCACTGGAATATTCCATGTGTAACTGAAAATATGGAAAACAAATATCTTACACACACCATGCACACACAGAACAACTGAAATTGTGGCAGCAATGGCCCATACACTTGCTAGATTGAGCAATCAGTCTTATGGCCTCTGGACATTGTTGGGGGAGAGAGACGAGAGTTCTTATTCCCACCTCTGAGGTCAGAGACAGTGCTCTCAGAAAGAGCCAAGTCAACTGGTCTCTGCATTTAGGAAAACGACCCTGGAGAAGGGCTAAAGGGGGCATTTCAGGAGGTCAGGAAAAGAGGAAACCATCCACTTTTGGTGAGTGCCACATGAAGCTTGGACTCAGGGTTGCTACAAAGCTGACTGGGCTCTGGGGAGCTGAAACCAGGGAGTCTGTTGGATCCCTCACACCTCACATGGATGTCTCACACACCCCTAGTCTGACGAAGTGTAAGGCAGCTTCCATTGTTTCTTCCTTTGATTCCAATGCCAGCTCTGCTTTGCCACACACAATCTTTATACAGGGATGTTAGTTACTGTGAGTGTGTATGGCAAAGCTTGCCTCATGTCCGTCCATTTATTGTGGCCACCCACAATAACATAATGGATGAAGATTTAATGAAATCTTTAATTTGTAATGGGTGGTTTTAGGCATAATAACAAATATAGGGCTATCTGGGGTGTTTTTGCCAAAGTGTTTGTATAATTATATTTAATTATAGTAAAATATCTTGCCATATAGCAAATTTTTAGGTACACCCAATATTTTCTTTCTTTCTTTCTTTCCTTCCTTCCTTCCTTCCTTCCTTCCTTCCTTCCTTCCTTCCTTCTTTAAAATGTTTATTAATTTAAAATTAATATGTATTAATTGCAATAGATTCACTCAAATATTATCTAAGAAAACTATAATACTTTATTTTATTTTTATTTTTGACGGGTTGGTCCTGATTTTGAAAATTGCAATGCAAATTAATTTTAAAAATGTAAGACAGGGCTGGGGAAAGCAGTGGTCCTACAGATGTTGTTGGATTCCAGTTCCCATCGGCTCCAGTGAGCATGGGGAGTGGTCAGAGATAATGGATGTTGTAATGTCTGTAGACCCATAGCCTCCTCATTTCCTGATTTAAGGCTTAAAAGAAATTATTTGTGTAAGGTTGAACGTCAGAACAGAGAAGGTCCATTTGGGGAAGTGACCTGTCTTAGCCTAGAGACTGTGCCCCACATAACAACCACATATTGAACTTCTGGAGAAACTGTACCTGAATGGAGAAGGTGGCTGGGAAGGGTCTGCTGTAGGATCCAGAAGAAAACGCTTCTGCATGATTGTATGATTTGGATGCATATTCAGTACAGGATACCCCATTTGCTTGGTCCAAGTATCCATCACATCTTTGACTGGTTGACCACTTGCCTATGAAGAACAGTGGATGGTCATGTTGGGAAAGCCAGAATGGACTTGAGGAAGGGAATGTTTCTTCTACTCTGGAGATGAGGACCCTCCCCTCATACTGGCTTTAGAAAACATATGGGCACAGTTGGTCCAAATAACTACATTTACTGAATGTCTACAATAAGCAAAGGCCAAGCATTGATTACCCTGAGCTTCCATAGATAGCCACCTTCTAGAGCTTCTGATATTGCAAGCTACTTCCAGTGGACATTAGACTCTGATGCCTTACCATTTTTTTCCATTACTACAATTTGGGTGGTGAGGGGATATAATGGCTAATTGCAATGAATGTAACAAAAGAAAGCAGTGATTCTGGCAATGCTGGCTACAAGATGCCTGGACGAAATCTCAGTTCTGATCAAATATAAGCTCTGGTCCAGGAAAGAGCTCTGCATGGGGCAGTTTCTCCCATCAGCACACCACAATTATGGGGGCACATGCACTGTTGGGCCCTCTGCATGCACTGTGGCTGCTAAAACTGAAGGAATTCTGCCTGAGGTGATATCTGGCAGGCTCATTCTAAATGCATACAATATTCCTCAGTGGAAATGAATATAAGATTAATTGAGGCTCCCACTGGGTTTGGTAAGAGCTTAAGCAGTCACTCTTTGGGGTTGAATTTTGCTGGGCTGTTTAGCTCACTGCTTTTGCAAAGATTCCAAAGAGTTTGCAAAAGCGAATTCTCTTTAGTTGATCATTCGTTCGTTTATTCGATTTATACGCTGCCTTTCTACCAAAAGCAGCAACACTTGAGGCTATTTAGGTAGTATACATATGCTCAATAAATACTTGACTTTTTAACTTGAATTTATGTATTTGGTATATTTATCTCCCATCTTTCCTTTAAGGAGTTCAAGGTAGTGTACCTGATATTCTTCCTCTCTGGTTATCCTTCCTCTCCAAACAACCTCGAGAGGAAGATTAGGATGAAGCCATTTGGAGATTTTCATGGCCAGGGAAACTAAAATCAGGGTCCCCCAACTCCGGTTCCAACATTCTAGCCACTTTGCAACACTGGCTCAGTGTAGGTGCCGGCAAAGCTAATTACTCAAATTATAGTGACAGGTAAGCAAGCTGTGCTGTTCTCTCCACTCCTTGGGCACATTATGGATAAATCAGCTGTATGTGTTTGTAAAAATGAAATTCTTTTGTAGTCTCTTTTTATTATAGCTTTTATTTCATTTCTTCTCCCTGCCTTGACCAATTTTCACAAGGGGCAGTGGGATTTTGTGAGAGCTATAAACAGTGCAGTTCAGACGAATGGAGAAATTGTTTATGAGACTATTTTTCTAAGTATATGAAAAGAAGGGAGAAGGATGGGGCTAGGAAGAGAGGGAAGAAGACATCTTTTTCCTATCAAGAACAGACATTTTTACAGAACATACCTCTGCCAGTGCTCTCCAGAAATCGTCTGTTTTTGCATTTTTGAAATGATGTTCTTTCAGATATTGCTGTTGAAGGAAATTAAGAGAGTTGCTAAATAGGAATACTGTAATTCACCACAATATTAGAAATTCTTCATTATTCTTTTCAATATTCATTATTTAAATATTAGAAATTCCCTAATACTTCTAATGGTGTGTATCAACAACCAAAATTTACATTGTTTCCTGATATTTTCTGACACAACTCATAGCATTGCTATTCATATGGCTTATGCAGTCCTAAGGGGCCTTCTGGAATGCCATAGCATGAATTCACTTTCCTTCTCGACTGGTTCCACCCATGCAACACATCCATATGTGAGAACACCAAGGGCATAAGTGTCTGCATATTGCCAGGTGTTCAGGCAGTGCGCTGGTGTCATTGCTGAAAGAACTCACTGATACTCTGATTCAGGCAAGGTTAGGGTTCAGAACTTAAGAGGAACCAAGTTGAATCAGAGTTAGATCTGTCTAGACCAGCATCCCTTTCACAGTGCTCAGCCTGCCACCCACAGGAAGCCTGCAAGTAGGAATATGAAAGGGACCTGAATCTTTCAAAAAAGGAAAATGCCTTTCTTTTAAACATAATTACAAATTAAGTAATAATTACAAATGTAACACTCATTGACCTTAATTATTTCCCCAAATTAAAAGCTTTTTATGTATGTTAGTGGACTGTTCTCATAACTGCCTTATATTCCCAGTATCTTATTTAAGCATCTTGAAATAGCTCTCATCCATTAATGAGTAACATAATTCAGGTACACTATACCAGCTTCAGTAAATACCAAAAAGAGCTCAACTCCCACGTTCCCTGAAAGTTCTCCAGCCCTTGTGCTGGCCAATGAAAATGTCAGGCTAGAAAATGCTGACTCCCAATGCCATGGCTGGATAAAGAATAGATCTGTCCTTCCAAAAGCACTTAAACTTGCTTTCAGGGACCAAAGATTGGATCCTGTAGGCATGCAAGATTGGAAAAAAGTGGATTTTTCAATTTGGGTTTTACTCTTGGGGAACAGCTGTGTTTTTGCTGAATTGTCTTTAAATGTCTCCCCTCGAGGTTTCGTTTTTAATTGGGAAAAATTTCTCTTTCCCTGTCAGACATATACCTGAGGTCAGCTTTAAAGTGAAGCAGGTGAGCTTGATAAGGAAACTGTGTGGGAAATACTTTGCTAAATAAAATGTTTTTGTAGCTGTAATTTAATGCCTGGTTTGCTGGGAAATGAAGGAGCTGAACACAGATCAAGAGGCTGATAACTTATCTCAATAAAAGGTAAATATCCATGGTAATTTGTGCAATGCTAGGTGGTATGTGGCCATATTGTCTTGCCAAGTTGTGGAGAAGATCCTACCCCCTTTTCTGTCTCTTAAAATTCTCACCACCACCTGGCAGAATGGATGACCCAGTGAGCGAACAGGCCAGGTGAGTATGTGAATACTGGGGTAAGTTACCTGTTGGTAAAACAGCCATCATGTATTCACTGAGGGATTGAAACTTCTATGCCAGAAAGGACTGAGGTGCCTGAGTGATAGTCCTTCCTTGTGTCCTTTGCACATCCCTGAGCTGATATGGTTGGCATTACCTCTGCCATGGCTCTCACATTATTCCTAGGAACGTGCAGAAAAGCTTCTTCTCATATGGTTGCTCTTCCTGTCAAGGAAATCACCTGCATGCAGGATGTTTTATGTATACAAATGCAACCCATGTGTAAATAAAAGTGACTGTGGCAATGTCTCATATGTGTGCGAGAGCTGGTGGGTAAGGACAGGGCTGGGTCTGCTCTTGGACAGTGCAGGGGAGCCCCTTTCGGCGGCAAGTCATGAGGGGAGGCTACTGGAAGGTCAACCTTTTCCCTGCATTTGCTCAGGTAGCCTGCTCTGGTCCCCCTAGGCAGTTTCCAGTAGGTATGGTGGAGGAAACTGTACATCGCCATACACACACAATACCATGTGAGAGCTACTGGGGGGTAGTGGCTGAGAGAGCGGGACTGGGACTCTGGCGATCTGGGTTCTGGTCCCTGCTCAGCCATGGAGCCCATTGGGTGATTCTGGGCCAGTCACAGACTCCCAGCCCAACCTACCTCACAGGGTTGTTGTTGTAAGGATAAGATTGGGAGGAAGAAGAGGAGAATGATGTAAGCACTTCGTTATTTGAAAGAAAAAGGTGGGATATAATTCTAATAAATAAACACACATGCATGTCAATATATATGAGAAACAGATTTGTCTCTTCCTTTCGTCTGTCTTTCTTGTCTCAAGATAGCTTCAGTGCTTCTGAAAATTCCTCCCCCTCTCTGCACATGCAACTCAAAGCATTCTTTTTTCCCAAGCCAACTCCATGGAATTTGAGTGGCGGCAGTGGAGCAGTAGATGGTGCTGTTTCTCTCTCTCTCTCTGAGCTACATCTGTGATTTCTTTAGGCTAGCTTGTATTATGCCAGCATAAGACTCTAATGTGTAAACTGGGTGAGCCTTGCCAGAGGGCTGATGGTAGGGAAACAAGCGTGGAAGAAAGCAATATAATAAATTAGCATCTCTCGCAATAAATGTAACCTTTCTTTACTTGCATGGAAAAAGCGATGGATGTTGCTGTCTCTTTTTTCAGTTGATGTCTGTTCTTGCTCTGGGCCCTGGATTCTGCTGTGATAGGAGGGTGGGTACCATTCTGGTAGGATGGTGTGGAAGGTTATTGCTTTTAAACAACACTGAAGCTATTCTCTGACTCTTCCCCCACCTTGATCACCCTCGATCCCCGGTTCAACTTCAGTGGACTTCCCTGCCATCAGCCCAGCCAGTGCAGCCAATGCTCAGAAATGCTGCTTCAAGCTGGGTGGAGGCTAGCAGCCCATGGTGGGTGCTCAGAGCTTTTCTAAAGAGCTGCAGGACACACATTTTTCTTAGGCCCAATAGAGACTGTTGTGAATCTGTGAGTTTGGACTGAAGAGGGTTAGAAAATTTCTTAATGGCCTTTCCCAGGAAAGCATGTATCTTCTTTGTTGAATAAATCACAACTGAGCAACTAGGAAATAGCTGAAAGGGAAGAACTACTTTTGAAAAGTCTGTCCCGGTTTCTGTCTTTGCCTACCCAGGCCAGCTAAGGATGTTGTATTCTAGGTATCTGCCATTTTGTGGCCAAGATAAGGTCATTAGTTGAATTGCTCAGCTGGCCCACCACATTTAGCATCCCTTCCCCAGACAATCTGCTGCCATCAGCTACGGATCTCCAGGAAGCAACAGGACTCCATTTTTAGACTTGACTGTGTAATTCAAAATGAGCACATGGAGTGAGATGACCAGCCCAGGTCATGATCATAGATCAAAATCAATGATCAATTTGATTTTGATCAATCATTGATCAAATCATTGATCAAAATCAATGAAATAGAAAATAATATTTAGAACAAGGGGCCATTTGAGAAAGAATACAGAATAATGGGCTGATTTAGTAAGCAACTCAACATGACTGAATCCCTTTCCCAGTAGCCACCAGAGCCCCCTATGGTAGCCACACTCCATGGCTTCCTTGGGTTCCCAGCAGGCATGTGAGGAGCATCCTTCTCATCCAGCATGAACTTCCTTCACTGTGTGTAGCCCTTTTCCCCCTAGAGAAGTCCCAGGCCCAGAAAAGCTGCTTTGCCAGACCTGTGCCTTCCCCCATTGAGGAGAGGCTATAAGGTAAGCAAAGCTGCCCAGTTGAGCAGGTGGCTGGGGGGGGGGGGTTCTTCCTGTCTCAGATGATTTCTCCTGCTGTGGCTTTCCCAGAGAGGTCTTTCTCCAAAAGACAGGGCTGGGAGTCCCAGCCTTGTCCACTAGAGGAATTCTGGAAGGCCATGAGGTGAGATGGCCATGAGATGGCCATGAGAAGGCTGGGTTTGGCCTTCCATTCACTACTTCTCTGTCTCTCCATCCCTTCTTACTGGAATTTCTCTACTGACACTCCCCACCTGCCATTCACCTTGACTCTGTCTGCCATTCCATTATACTTCCAAGTTGTCATCTATTCTTCCACACATTTTTCTGTTCAAAATCACATCAGCTGCAGTGTGTAACATGGAAGTAGAAGGCTGTGTATACCATGGCCCCTTTGTGTTCAAGTGCATGCACTGACATGGCAGGAACTCCATCTGGTCCTTATTGCAAGATTTAACCTCCAGGCACCTCAGTAGGAAGTTGAAATCTGAAGGCATGCTAATTTATTTTCTTAATAAGACATTCCTACAAGGTCAGGGCTTTATCAGAGTCAGGGAGTTGTTACTGTGGATGTTATGCTTCTATCATGTCTTAGTTCATCTTGCAAGGAACCCAGGGCAGTTTATACCACCCTCATCCTTTCCATGTTATCCTCAAGATCCCTGAGAGGTGGGTTAGGCCGAGAGTTGGTGATTTGCCCAAAGTCACCCAATGAGCTTCATAATGATTGAATGGGGTTTAAAATGTGGGATGCACAGCATTTGCAAGCACCTACCATGGGGGTCACATAGCTGGTTCCCATGCCAGCTCTGCAGTTGTGTCTACAGTGTGGGCATGAGAACTAACCATGCAACCAAATGTAATACAATCAAGATGCAATATGACAAACTGGAAGGGGTGAAGTGAGGGGTGGTGGTAACCATGTCATGAGACCTCTGCCTGGGGATTGATTTCTCAGAAGTAACAGGTAAATGAGTTGCCTTCTCAGCTGGGGAAGGCACAGGGGAAGTGAAGGCAGCTTGGGACTCAATTCCTTCACCTCCTGCTTTGTCAGCCTGATTGGGATTATGAGTGGTGGACAAACCTAGCAGATGACTTGGCCAGCACTTGGAGGAGAAGCACGTTGGGAGGCACAAATGGGCTGAATGAGGTCAAGGGAGGACCGGGAGGTGGGCTCATCCCTGGCATCATACAGCCTCTCCCAATATTCTCTCACCTGCCAGATTGTGGGGGCGGGGGTGGAATCCAGTTTCAACCCCCAGTCCTGTTTTCCACACCTGCTCTAACATGCTGACCAAAATCCCATACCAAGAATCACAGCACAGTCCTAAGTCATGTTCACTGTTTCCAGTTGGATTTTCTCCATGGCAAGTATGCAAAGCATTGCAGCTGCAGGTTATTAAACAACCCCCTTTGCAATCTTTTCTTTATGCACATTTTTTCCTAGACACACACAATCTTACCCGGCAGCCAGCTTGGAATTTTTCTGGTGTGATCCAGTCTTCAAGCATTCTGAGAAGTGATGCTCCCTAACCAAATAGAGATAGGTCATACAAGTAAGAAACAGTTCATACTAAGTTCAATCAAACCTAGTTCTTGATGCTTGAAAATACCTTTGACAGCCCTGCCTGAGTGAAACGCATTTTTAACATCTAACTTGATAAAATATACATCTGTAAAATAAAACTCCCTTATACATATTGTTCAAATGTTTAATTCCTTCTGTTTAGATGAACTGGTCTTCTTATTCTCAGGCTTCCTCCTCACAGTGTGAGGATGAAAATAACCAGGAATGAGCCAGCAGCCGCAGAGCCGACATAAACACAAATCACTGAGCTGCTGTCTTATGCAATTCATTGTGGTTTGTGGGAGTCTTACCTCAAAAGCTGCCTGTGTTGCAGAGGGGTTGGTAGTAACAGATAGATATTTCCACCCTCTTGCCCCAAATAGCCCTGCCTGAGGTGTTGCTTGGTTTCTGTGGCTTCAACAGATACTGCTTGAAGCCATTCCTTTTTCAATGATGTGCCATTTAACAGTTCTCAGAAATCCCAGTCCCTGGAAGATTCTAGCTTGCACAGTCCAAGGAGTCTATGCACAAGGAAGCAGAATATGTGCACGGCTTTGTTAATGGTGCTTTACTACCCCTGTGTGGATACACTGGCTGGTAAGTGTGAACCACATCCACTTGGCTGTGCTGATCTTAGTCATTTTTTTCTGGGCTGCCTCCACCCTTCCTATGGTCAGTTTCTTGCTTTCTATTCCTACCCCTTGCTGGTGGCAATCCAGTTGGAAAAGGGGCAAACTATCACCCTAACCCTTAACTGCCTTGCAAAGCACATGCTGAAGCTTCCAGGTTCCAGGTTCAGTCCTAGACGTTGCCCCTGATTTCATACAGAATGGCTCCTGTATGGAACCGTGGAGTTTTGCCAATTTCTCTGCCCACAGAAGCAAAACTGAGCAAGACGGACCAATAAACAGATTCCTTCCTAGTCCATAAATTAGATGCCTGAATGACTTGTTGGAAGCAATTTTGTTTGTCTCACTATTTGGCTAAGCTCTAGCTTGTAGTAAATGACTTGAATTATTCAGCCTCCATTAGTGGTGATGACTGGTACCTGATCATGAGCAGGAAGCCAGGGTGACTCACTCCTCACCGTGTTGTTGTAGAAGCACAAGATCATAGGTCGTGACATTGGTATTCCCACAGTAAGTCACATGCGAAAGAGCAATTCATACTTTCTTTTTTAGGATTGGATATCCGAGCATAAAATGCCCATGTGGGCTGTCGGTTATGCATAGCAAATTTTCACTTAAACCACCACTTTATGTTGGATTATAGGAGGAGGTGGAGATCGGGAGGCATCTATATCTATTCCATTCCTGCACTGCCCAGTAGCCAAAGCACTTTGTGCAGTTTACAACAATTCATAAAACAAAACAATAAAACCGCACAAATGTTTTCCAAGCTGCACAAATTTAAAAACAACTTATTGTGGCGAGAGGGGCCAGTTCTCTCCCATTACAGCCTGCTCAGATAGAGTCATCTGATTCTGAGGAGGCGGCAGAGGTGGCCAGACGGCTTTGCCATTTCACGGTTGCCTATTGAAGTTTTTCAGACAGAGCATGAAAACCAGCCCACCTTGGAAAAGGAGGTGGACATTTCGGAAGCAGGGGGAAGGAGATTGAGGGGGAGCACTCTTGACTATTGCCTCCCTTTCCATCCTTTATCATGGCACTGAAGTGCTCACAACAGTGCTCTTCCTTACTTTGCTATAGGACACGCCATCAAACACAGAGGTTATTTCATCAGGAGAAGACACTTCCACTACAATTGGGTGAGAGGAAAGCAAGGAGTCTTCCTTCAGCACAGGGAGTAGATCGTCAAGCAAAATTTGGTCCAGCTGCATGGCGTAAAATGAAGGAGGGAAAACAAAATAATTATTACAGGAAAATATGTCGTTTTTGTTTGTAATGTGCAGAGTTTTACGATGTGATCCAGCTTCATGGCTTCAGTGAAGGCCATGTGCCTTAATAATGATTTCTACATCTTTGCCAATAAAAACATGGCCAATGCCAGGTATTAGGTAACCGATTTTACATCTCTTAGGGAACCATCCTAGGCAAATTTAGGCAGGGAAAGTCCTACAGCTTCTAGGATAACTAGCTGGGTAATACTGAAAACTTCAGGTTGTTTTCCATCTAAACTTGGAAAGGATTGTATTTGTAGGCTGTGCTCCTGTACACACTTAACTGGGAGCAAGTTCCATTGCACTCAATGGGAACTAACCAAGGAGACATGTCTAAGTTTGCACTCTATTTTTATGAGACTAAGATGACTACACTTCTTCACTCAGTGTGCTATTTCAGTATATGTTTTTCACCACAACACTCCTAGGATGGGAACATAATTTTCTTAGCAACATTACTGCAAGCTTTTCAGAAGCCCTTCAAACCTTACTTGTTTTCTCTGGTATTTTACCTATTAGATTTTATTGGGCCATTCTGGGTTTTTAACTCCAATTGTGCTTTAGATTTTAGTACTATCGAGGCTATTCATTGCTGCTGCACATTGATTTTATGAATGGCTGCTTTTCAATATTTAACAATGGGGTATTCATTTTGCTTTGCTTTGCTTTGCTTTGCTTTGCTTTGTTTTTAATGTATAGCTCATTACTGTATAAGGCATTCTGAAAAGCTTTTGTTCTGAAAGGCAACCTAGAAGTGCTTATTAATGCCCCCCACCCCGCATACAAATCTTCACCCAGCTCGGTACCATACATAAATGTATTCATGATATAGCTCTGACAGCACAGCAAAGAAACAGGATGTTCAAACGGGCATGTATGTGAATGGAAACAGCAAACATCTCCTTTGACTGCTGTTACATTCAGTATATTGTTTGCACAAACACTGCAAACATTCAAACAGTACATGCACTGATTCCATAGGTTCACTACACAGCAAGAAGCAGACTTCTCCATTCTGTGGTTGGTATGGACAAACGGTCTGTGAAGACAGTACACTGAATGTGCATCGGCCATGGCTTCCCTTCCGTATCAGTCATGTAGCTCATGACACTAATTTTAGTTTTGGGATTTGCTGTAACATAGACAAAGAGCTCTGAAAAACCAAAATCACAAACCCTGTCCTGTAATGCAGAAGGAAATTTATTTTGCTTCTCACATAATGGCATTTTGTGAGCCAGCAACATATGGCCCATGTAATCCAATTTGTTGGCTAGAGGAACACAAAACAGCTAATTTTAGATATCCTATCCTATATTGGCAATGGCTTAAAATTGTATATCCGTTTCAAACACTGCATATTTTTTGTGCTGAGTGGGTGGATAAAGGCTTCCCTTTCAATACTAGGAAGAAGCTTCAGTATTATCTATTTATTTATTAAACACATAATGATCCTTTTTCGTAAGGTGCTCAGGGCTGTGTGCATGGCTTTTCCCACCACCACCTTATGCTCACAACAAGCCTGAGAATGGAAGTGAAATTTTAAATGACCTAAAGCCTCTAGGCTTCACAGCTTAGTAGAGTTGTGAACAATGGTCTTCTCTGCCGCAGGCTGATGCTATAACCACTACACCATACTGTCTCTGTGTGAACTTGCAGGAAAATATACCTTGTTTAGGCTGCCCCAATTCCACGAACTCCACAGACATCTCGCAGAAGGGGAAGCCTACACTTTGAATTCAGTTGAATTCAACTTCTAGGACAGAAGAAGCCTTCCAAGGTCGTAGATCCTAACTCTTTGAAGTGAAGGCAATATTAACTCTCTCAATTGACACCTAATGGATATATCATCTTTTAATCATACCTAGGAAACATTTATGCAATTGCTTTGATCATGAAGTTCCACTGAACTTTAATCAGCACATACATTTCCTAATATTCAACCCTGCACCTCCTGAAAACTTACTATCCTCACCCTCCATTCCAAAATTCTAGCTTGAGAATAGTTCTATTTCCTAATTCAGGTTGATATTTACTGGTAATCAGTATTCTGCACCCAGCACAATGTTGCCACAATGACTAAAAGAAACAGTCATCATCAATGGGTTAGTAGCATATTGCAGCTTTATAGAACGATTAATTTAGTTTACATAGTTACAGTTTAGTTTGCTTTTTTGAGGGGGAGGGATTGCTTTTACCCAAGTCCTTGGGCTTACCATACCAAGTAACATAAGTGCATGTATATTTACCATTTGCCAAGTTTTTTCTGCAGCATTTACTCCCATGAACTCAAAGAAGCTGGCGAAGCCTTCATTTAGCCACAAGTCATCCCACCAATCCATTGTCACAATATTTCCAAACCACTATTAAAACAATAATAATATACAGCATCATCTATACAGTCAGCAGATGCATGGTAGATTAGCAAACGTTTACATAATGCAGCTAGTAGTGAATATACATTTGTTGTTTTATCCTAATGCTGAGTCAAAACTAACCTTAGGATGGCTTTCTTATTAAGAAGCTGTCCTTAGTGGTTTAAGGAGTGTCTTTAGCTGTACAACTCTCAGGACCAGGGTATCTCATTTATCATCTGCTACCATCTGAGGTTGTGAGATCACCTGGTGAAGTTATGCTTTTTAGGAGCGGTAACTATGGTAATGTTGTTGTTGCTTTTTGATGTATACAGATACAATTTCTTTGTTTTTAAAATTGGCTGCATTCAGGCATCACAACTCACCATGTTTTATCAAAATGGAAAGGATCATAACCTCTTTCCAGTTCATACACACCTAGTTCTCCCTCCTACTCTGGCATGGAGATTGGAAGATTGAAAGCTTTCCCTTCCACACAGCTAATTCTACCATCTAAACATTTCTACGTGGAAGAAAGGTTGAGGTGCCACCAGGATTCTCAGAGGATGGTGATGCCTCACTTCTCCCTCTGGGAATGTCCCCCACTGCTAGCTCCAGAGATGGACTTCTGTCTTCAGAGCCCAGCTAGTATGGAGATAACCACACCACTGAGATTGAACTGGTGGAGTGTTTTTCTGAGGTGGCAGCTGATACTACAACCTATCCTTTGACTGCTCAGACACGAGGAGGCCACAGGCTTGCACCCTTTGTTGACTTTTGATGCAACTTCAGTGTGAGGGTTACATTGCCAGTGCAAATGAAGGGAACAGTTGGGACTCAGCCAGTTTGCAGTAAAGTGACTGAAATGAGTATGATGGTCACAAGTATTTTCATGCATTGATTTCTAACACAGGTAGCATCTCTTGCAATTCGGACAGGTTGCATCTGCAAAAACGAATGCTGGAACTTAGAACTGACTATAGTCCCCAATAGTAAATCTCCAGCAAGTGAAACACTGATGCAAAAAATCAATGACAATTTTATACACACAAACACACAAAATCTGAAACATATTCCAGTACTTTGGAGCTTTAAAATTAATCCACCGATTTTAGAACTAAAAAGAAGAATCTTAGAAGAATTCCACTGAAGAAGACTTATGAGATTATTATTTTCTTGAATACAATATTGTCTTTGATGTCTTGTTAATAAAATAGTGTGCAAGCTGTACCTGGTGAACAAGTTCATGGGCAACTACAGCTGCTACCCTTTGCTTGTTTGAAGCAGCTGATTCTTGTGGATCATATAGGAGATTTGTTTCTCTGTAAGTGATCAGTCCCCAGTTCTCCATGGCACCAGTGCCAAAATCTGGAATGGCTATTTTGTCTAAATGGAAAAAGAGATGATGTTTACCTAGGTGCTGAAGCCCTCTCATCTCCCTCCAATCATGAAACTTCTGCCTTTCAAAGAACTGAAGTTGGTTGCTTTTGTCTTTGCAGCTCTAAAATCCAGGCTGATGGAATGTCAAGGTGATGTTGCTGAACCAATTCTCTCTATTCCCAGCTTCACATTTTCACTAAGACAGCATGGGTACCACTCTGGCAAAAGGTTTACAGTGTATATAGCAACAGTGCAGAACCTCAGGTCCAAGAGGCCAATCCCATCCTACCTGGGTTCCAATCTAATTGTCTGGGGTTTCTCAGATGGCCATCTCTGCTTCCTTTGTCCCACTGCTTCCCCACTACCAAAAATAATTTGGTGGTTTCCTTACTTTTCACGCAGCTTCTTCCCCATTCTAAAGGGTTGAAATGCTTCTCCTAAGACTTAGTTACTTGCAGAAAGAGCTTTCAGCTATAAAATGCTAACATTTTTGGCCCTGTCCATTCTGAGAGCTTCTCAGAAATGGGATTTGGACCTCCGACAGAAAGAGGTCCAAAGCCTACAGTTTATAGGTTCAAGGAGCAATGGCATGGAAACCTGACATTTGGTATGTGAACCATGATGTCCTCTGTAGGGTCCCTGGCTTTGTGTATCTCTGTGTGTCTACTGCCAGCCAATACATGAGATTTAAGTGGATTGCAGCCAGTGGAAAGAGGCAAGTCGAGAGAGAGAGAAGTAGGGAATAACTGAGGAGACAAGACAGAAACCAGGCCCAAGGATTAAAAGCAAGCTTACCCTTCAGTGGTACTTTCTCACTAGTAAAATATGTACACAAGCTGTTCCATAAATTATGAGGCTCCACCTAAAACTGAAGCTTGCCTGATTGCCTGCCTATTACAACCCTGATTTCCCAAACAGGACAACAACGTGATGAGGCTCCTTACAGCCCTTTGCAGAAATGGATCACTTGGCTGGCCTCCTCTTCATGTTACTATGATGACAGCTGGCTCCCATCTTATTGAGAGTTCTTGGCAAGACACCTTCAATAGGCCTCCTACCTTCTCACCTCAACTGTCACCAGTTGCTCTTCCTCTTCATGCTTCTCAACCCATCCCCTTCTCTGGGCCAGACTGAGCGATCAACAAGCGAGCTGCAATGGTGAAGAGGAGGAGCAAGCCTAGGGTGCTCTTGGCAGTAGGACTGAGCTGGGACGTGGGCCCCCAGCAGTTGCCCAACCATGCCTGCCCTTGACAACAGCCTAAACACCATAAACTGTTGTTCTGATGATAAAGAACACACGTCTCTTTTCCCCAGGCAAATGTAGAAGGATGTGGAAGAGAAGGGAGCTGTATGTGATATCTTTTCTCCCTGCAGGGAAACAGAGGGCCTTGCAAAACATGCGTCTAGCACAGTGGGCACTAGGCAGACCAAATGCCCCCGCCTCTCCAAATGCACACACACAGGGGATACTTTCTGCCTTATTGGTAATGCTAAACTAATCTCTACGATGTCTTCCAGTGATTAGATTGTAAAAGGATTTTGCAAATAGGGCTAAGAAATATTTATTGGCAAATTAAGTAAACTAAATCCCCGTGTAATGAACAACATCTGCTTCTACTCACCACAACATGCAGGGTCATCGCTCTATGGCTGGCAATCAATACCAGTTTAAATGAGAATTATGGACTCTGGGTTCCTCGGAGAGGCCTAACAGTGCCGCTACCTGGCCTCGTGTAGAATTCAAATGGATGCTAGGATGGGCCGAGATACTAGGAAATCATGAGTGCCCCGCCCCATCCCAAAATGCCCAATATCACAGCTTTCTGTCTAATCTGTGGCAAAATTAGGTCTCTCAGCAGTCAGCTGACACTGTTAGCCCAATGTATTTGATTTCTCGGTAGCAAATGCAGCACTTGACAATGTTCACAACAAGGTAGTGTAACAGAAATAGGTATAAAAGGATTCTCACAAACATATAAATACAAAACAAAAAATAACGAGTAACCATAACAGAATAGAACATAACAATTAAATAGGGCTCTTTTAAAGGCAGAATAATAGCCTGAAGACAGAATAAAAATATATAGGTACTGCTAGAAGATGTGACATCTGTGATTTTTTCAGTGTAAGCATAACACATAAGGAATCACAATTTGTTATAGTACTAGGAAATACCTCTGGCCAAATTCTGGAGAACTGCTGCTGGTTAGAGTAGACCAGCCTGGTGCCTTCCAGATGTTTTGAACTATAACTTCCAGCATCCCTAGCTATGCTGGGGTTGATGGGAACTGATATCCAAGACATTGGGTGGGTGCCAGGTTCAAAGGCTGGCATGGACATTCCTGGGCTAGATGGACAATAGTCTTCCTACATTCATGCCATCTGGAAGTACCACATCTTACCATTCCTGCCACCTCCATTTATGCTTCTGCTGAATGTGGCCCAGAGGTTTCCTGGGACTGGAATCTATTTCCTACAGTTTATACTGTGCATAGCACTACCTCTGCTAACACCCGTCAGGTGAGCACAACCGCCGGGGGGAGTGATTGGCCGTGATAATGGTGTCAGCAGCCATTGGAGAGGGAAAAGGAGAATGGCCGACTGTGGCGGCGGCAATGCTGGGTGGGGGGCTGAGAGCGGTGGCTGTCCCACTCGTAGGACGAGCAAGGTCGGCCAGGGGGTTCTCTGCTCCTCAGGACCCTCGCTGGGTGTCTGAACATGCTGCCCTCCACTGCCAGCTCTCTGCATTAGTTATGCCAATGCTTGTATTTAAACCCAGCTGCTAGCACAAAGGTGGTAAATAGAGTATGCTCCAACCCCACAGTCAACACAAATCTCACCAGTAAGACTCATAGCTAAGTAATATGGTGCATGCAGAAAGACCAAAGTTCAATTGTCACCATGTTCTGGTAAAGGATTGGGAAGGAAAGCGACCCAAAGAGCTTCAGTACAAGGCAGCTTTATATATACATCTAGGCAAGCGAATGCATCTTTCAGGAAGCAGCACTCCAGTGCAAATTCAGCAACTCAATGCCACCCTCAAATATCGCCCTTGCTTATAATTTTCAAATGATTCATAGACTGGAAACAAAATTATGACAGCCAATTAAGAACCGAGGAACAGAAATGATAATTATTACCCAGTTTTGGAAGAGAATACGTCATGTTGAAGTACTCTTCAAAGAAATCAAATACAATTTTAGTCACATTTGCTGCATACATTGCTGTGTGCAATTGCTGTGGCTGGGCATAAACACGGAGCTGCAAAACAAAGCAAAGATATTATCAGAAATGTTTCTAGCTTAAACCAATAATTGTTTAGCAGCAGGATACCTTTTGAGCAATGCAGAGGGCTAATAGAACTGGCTTTTTGGGCCTGAAAGGCAGGACATTTTGCAGGAAAGATTGTCTCAAAATCACTTCTTTAAGTGGGGTGTTCGTTGTATCCAATGCATTTATGAAAAAGAGATGCTTTCTTTCCCCGTCAGTATTGGCAAACTGATTGGGGTAAGACTCACATCGGCTTTCTCTCACTGGTTCCTTCCAGATGTGTTAGACATCATTTCCTATCATTCCTAACCAGCATGGCCAGTGGGTATAATGGGTGTTTTAGTTCAACGTCTCTGGAGGTGCAAGTTAGGAATGACTTGTCATATGTTATAGTTTTATTATTAAAATCTGTCTTAACTAGGAAGGAAATTCTAAGCAGTTTACCTGGCAGATGCATGTTTAAATTATAGAACAGGAAGTCCCTTGGCTCACTTCCTAGTCAGGTACTATCAAGAGAGGGAAATGAAGTGCCATATTTTTTGCCAAGTTGTAAAGAGAGAAGTGACATGACTTGGCTACAGAGTGAACCTGGGAACAAGGAGAGAGAAGAGTCGAAGATAAAGTGAAGGTCATGAGACTTTTCAGTAAGAAAGATGGTAGAATCGTTAATGTTAAGGAAAGCATACAAGGACAAGAAGGCTTTGGAAGAAAGATGGGAAGTTCAGTCTTTAGTCTTAAAGTAGGGCTTCCCCACCAGTGATCTCACCCTGAGAGGCTGTTGCATGGATAGAAAAGTCCCTCATCATGTTCTTCTGTTGTCTGTGCAGCCACACTCAGCTCTTGGTAAAGCACTGACAGTTGGATTTTAGACTTCTCTTTCACATAAAATGGCTGTGTTTGGGGATTCTGTCATTCGCTGATGCTCTTGGTATGGTGATTTTGGTATGAGCACCACCCAAGTGTAAAATATATCAAAGGTGCCAGAGATGCTGTTAAGTGCACTGCTGAGTCCAAACCATCTTGGACTCTGTGAGAGTCCGCACAGCTTTAAATGACAGCATGAACCTTTACTGTCATTGCAACCTTTGCCAAAGTATCAGATAACTTGCACAAATAATTCTCATGCCTGCAGAAGAAAATGTTTGGGAAAGTGCAATACCAGAAGAGTAAAATAAGCTAAGTGATTAGATAGCTTCTGTCATGCAGGAATATAGTGAGAGCAAAACAAGAGATTTGACCTTTACATTTACACTATAACTATTTGGGTTCAGAAAGTTCCAGTTCTGAAGAGAAGGAAAACATCTTGCCTGAGTCCATAAATTTGTTCCATCTGTTTTCCTCTTTCCTCTGGTGAATGTAACTCCATGGATTCTGAAAGCTGGAATGGAGCTTGGAGGTCATCTAGTCCCACACCCAGCTTAGTGAAGGATCTGATGCAGGATGCAACTACAACTACAGGACCTTCACCCAACTGGTTCCCTCCAGATTTTTTGAACTTCTGCTCCTATCAGCCTGGTTACTATGGCCAATGGTAAGAAATGCTGGCAATAGTTATTCTAAAACATCTGCAAAGAACCAGGTTGGGGAAATAGAAGTACCATGTCTTTGACAAACTGCTCTTTCTCCTCTCTGTGAATACCTTCAGCAAAGGAGAATCTAGTACCAGGCCTGGCAACATCAGTTGACATGGGTAGGCAGCTTCCAAGCCCTAAACTTCAGAAGCCACCCTCCCTGCCCTTACCACAGCTGTCACCATCCTCCTCCTCAGCCTCCCAGCTGACCCTGCTAATGGAAAGAACCACACCGTCATCCAGTACACTTTGTCCGGCTATTACATTATGTATGTCGTTGAGGTTTTTCATTGACAGATGTATGGCAGCTCACCAGACACTCAGAAGTATCCAGCATCTACTGATTACCTTGAAGTGCAGAACTGGAAGTGATGCCAAGTACCTGCCAGGCTCTGACTGTGGTCTAACAGGCTCAGTGGGTCATTGGTAGTACAGACTTTATTTCAAATGTCATGGAACTTTCTGAACAAAGCATCATCTTTGGCTGAAGTTAGCTTCCAAGTTTACTCCTGATTATATTGTTCATGATGCCCAAAGACAGTCTAAATTCAGACTTTTTCAGAGATGGTGAGTGTGCTTGGGCCAGATAATTGTAATGCCGAAAACGCAAAGAACCAGGACTCTGGCCCCCACTGTTAATCCCATGAATTTCCCTTCTGCTACTAATCACTGGTTGACCTTTTGGCTTTATCTTTAAATGAGCAATTAAGTACACAAGCACAAAGCATTTTGAGGAGGCTATTTCATCACTTTGTTCACATGCTTGGAGGAACTGCAGCTTAGCTGCAGCTATCTTTCCAGAAGCATAGCATAATCATATAATTAAAGAAGAAAATTAAGTCTGAGAGCTGTATGAAATCTTTACTAAACTAATCTCTAGGGCAAGGCCCTGAGAATATTGGGGATGAATTATGTACAAGAGGAGATGACCTCATTTGCACTGAGGCATAAGACTGGGTAACTTGTTGAGGAAGCTTATCCAGAAATGAACCAATAATAGATCCAAAAATCAGTTTTGTCAAATGAAACATTGTAGTTAATGGGGGTCTCACCAATGGCTTTTATACATTTCCTAGCTGGACCCTTAGTTATTATGCTGCAGCTCTGTTCAAGCATTCAACAACTGACTCAATGAGGGGAAGAACTGGGGATGCACTCATTCTCCTCTATCAGAAGCAGTCTACCTACATATGCCGGTGGCTCAAGGTTTTGGGCTCCTACAAGGCTCATGTCTACTTGTTGTGTTCCTACAGGCAATTAGTTGGCCACAATGAAAACAGACTAGATGGACTTGTGCTCTGATCCAAACATGTTTGTATGTTCTTAAACCACAGCTGTTGCTATATAAATAGCAACTGCCTGTGGGAGAGACAAGTGGTTGTAAAACAGTGAAGAGCGAAAGCTGGAAGTCTGTGTTGTGAGGAGCGTCAAGGACCAAAACAAGTTTTGTGTGAGGTTGCACAGCTAGAAGGCAGATTTATTGAGCTGGGGGATGGGTGTATTAAAATCCTTGACCTCAGTGATGGGTTAGCTCTCCCTGAGCCAAAGTCTAAGCTAAGAGATACAGCCAAGAGGGCCATGGTGTGATTGAACTCCTCCTTCCTCTGTGTGTGTGTGTGTGCGCGCGCGCGTGTGTGAGCATATATATATATATATATATATATATATATATATATATATATATGACAAGACCTTTCTAAACAAGGTTTCTATTCTTCTATGCTATATTAATAAGAGAAGTGAGGGATGTCCTATTCATGACAAGCTGTTTAGTCAAAACATTCCTTTGCTTTCATTCTTTTTTATTAGTGTTTTGGTTTCATTCTGGAAAGGAAAACATCTCTGAAAAACAGTTGTTAAGAATCAGGAAATGACTTACAGGGACTCCTCGAGAAGACAGTCTTTCTGTGAAATTAAACTGGTGCACAGCCCAAGCCACCAAGTAAGTGCTCATTGGGACAGACTTTTGGAATTTTGTCTGAGTCCAGCCATTACCCAATTCAACTTCAGCCTGGAAAGAATGAGGGAAATAACAACAGACAGTATTTGTACGGCGGTAAAAGTAAAACAGCAGTCATGTCAAATTCTGATATTTTATAATAGTTTTATATACAGGATGGGAGCAGGAAAAGGTGTTTTTGGATTGCTGCACATATGATTTGTGTCTTGCAGTGTTAATGACCTTGAAGTAGATTTTTCAGTTTCCAGTTCTGATGTTTAAAAGGGGGTATGAACTATACAATCTGCACTGAATGGCTTGCTTCTGCAAGCAAGTTCTTCTAATGATCATGAAGACATTCCAAGGTGTGGGAGAGCTAAATAACATGCTTCCTTTCCTTAGTTAGTTGCGAAAAAAAACATGAATGCTTTTTCACAGTGGATAATGTTAAAGTAAAATAGCTAGGTTAGTCAAAAAAGCAGTCCATGCTTTACAAGTGAGTAAGGGGAAGAAAAAAACAGAAGGTTGAATGGAAATTCTGCCCCCTGTAGATGCAAGTGTCCTTTTTGTCGGTGAGAGTGTTCTATTCTAGTGGAGAAATGCTACTGGCAAAGCAGGGAAATCATTTCCCTTCCCCCTGCAGTCTCCTGTGTCCTCCTCCCAAATCCATCCCAAAGGACTGAGGGTATGGAAAAGAAGGGAGAATCAGCAAAGATTGCCCCTCTTCCTTATTCCATTGATGAGACATTCTGAATGGGATTCTTCTCAAGGAATGTTTACAGCAGTAGAAAAGAAGCTGGTTCCAACCTATCAGTGCAAATTTATTTTGTATGTTTCCAGAAAAACTTCCAATTGCAAATTTGCTCACCTGATGCCACAACTTTATCTCATCCCTAAACAATTGCAGCCTGGGCTCCACTGGGCCGGATGAATTTAAATTTTGCTTATTTAAAATTACGTTAAAATTTCAGATAGCTCTACAAGTATTATAATCATTTCTATCCAATCTCCCTTCCTTGGGCATGTAACATACTCACTTGTCTGCTACTTCCATAATGTAAAGTCGCATGTACTTTACATTATGTATAATGTAAAGCACATGCATTATTATACATAACAATGTATTCTACATTATACATTGTATAACGTATATGTATAATAATGTATAATAAGCATCTGCTTATTATATAAACAACTAGAATATTTGTGGGTCCCATAACATCAAGCACTCTGAATATGACATGAATGATTTAACTAAGCCCATCATATCTGAGAGATGTCAGCCACTGATTTGCCATAATTTTTTCAAAAATTAAACTGAAACTAATGTTGTGATAGTGTTTCTGCAAGCACATGGTTCACAGGATAGCACTACTTTATTTGGCACCAATGGGACAATTTGTGGTTGCTTTTAGAAAGGTCTAACCATTTACTTCCTTCCTTTGAAAAATATGAAATAGGAAGCATGAGCAAACTGTGGCAGGAATGTTGATAGATATATTTGTCAGCATTGGTAAGCTTGTTGCTGTATAGAATAGGGATGGGAAATGTGTGCCCCTGACATGTTGCTGAACTGCACTTCCCATAATCCCTTATTTATTTTTTATTTTCGATTTATATCCTGCCTTTTTCCTGCAAAGGGCTCAAGGCAGCTTACATCATTCTCCTCCTCCATCTTATCCCCACAACAACAACCCTGTGAGGTAGGTTGGGCTGAGAGTCTGTGACTGGCCCAAAGTCACCCAGTTGGCTCCATGGCTGAGCGGGGACTAGAACCCAGATCGTCTGAGTCCCAGTCCCATGCTCTTACCCACTACACCACACTGGCTCTTATCATTTGCTATGCTTGACTAGGGTTGATTGGAGCTGCGGTCCCACAAAAACTGGAGGGTGAGATGTTCTTCACCCCTGGAGTAGTCAATAATACTAGGAATATCAGCAGAGTTTTGAGCACAACTCACGAAGTTGTGAACTCTATGGCAATAAGGAGCAGACGCTGGCCATGCTTTGGTGCGTAATCCATGCACACAAATTCTGTTGAAATTAATGGGATCTATTCATGCACCACATGCACAGATTTTGGCTGTCTAGATTGTGGCATTAATAGCCATCATGTAATAAAAAGGACATATGTGCTTTAGCAATAATATAAAAGACAGTGGTGCATTATGATTCTGTGTCTTTTCATTCCATAGCAGTAAATTTCTAGGACTTTGAATGGAGACTGATGTTTTTGTGAAATATCTTGAGGAAAGTCTTAAGCCAGAAGTTTGTGTGGTTGGCGTTTGCATTTTAATTGTGCACTTAATTTAGAAGTTTGGGAACCATTGATTCAAAGTGATGTGATGGCTTTGACTTTCAGTTAGGCTATTCACTGGAAATTCTTTTGGCTGTGATCCACAAAACTCTTTTCTGCTGCAAATTCAAGAAGCAGAAAACTTATGTCACTGACTTCCACTGAAGACCTAGCACTTGAGAGAGAATTAAACATAATCATTTATGAAACCATGAACTTTGTTTAGAAAAGAGAGATTTGACAAAGATTCACATCTGTGATTTAACACATAGGGAATGCATTTCCTAAATATCCTGTAACTCTTAATACACATTAACTTCAAGGGGAGTTCCTCCTAAAAGGCTGTAATTCACCTACTCCAAAATACGGTTGGATTGGGAATAACAGAAGGTCCTGAGCTCCACAGTGTTTCCAGGGTTGGATGCCACGGGCCACATGCCAAAGTGGGCAGAACTGCACTCAGTCTCCCCTCAAACCACAGGCGCACACACACCAGTCATACCACACAGTCCCCTTTCAGAAACTGCTACTCATGTGTTTCTCGGGAAACTTGACATTATGCCTCCTGAGTTGGCTTTGCTTACCCCCTGCCTTCTCCATCCAGAAGGGTGAAGGGCAAGCAAAACCAGCTGAGCCACCATCTCAAGGCATTAGGAACAGCTTGAAGCAGTAGCTGTGAGGTCAGCCAGCTTCACCCATTCTTTGCTGTTCTCAAGGGGGAAGGGCTGGACTAAGCAGTGGTTCTACAAAGTGAACCACTGCTTGTGGGTCAGAGGGGAAGGAGCCTCTGAGGGCCAAACTAGGAGACCTAGCAGTCTGAATTCACCATGCAGGCTGCAGGTTTTTTATCCCTACATGAGATTTCTCCAGGACAGGTGATCCATTGATAACTCCTACCAGATTGCATAGAGCATACACAAAGAGATTAGATGACAGAATACATACCTCCACTGGCATATTTGACAGTGCTTTGTACGAGCTGTTGTGGATAATAGATATCTTATACGTTGCCTTTTTGTTAGGTTCATCAAAACAAGGAAATGATTTCCGTGCATCTGTTGGCTCATGGTCAGTGGCTGCTATGCTCCTTTTGAAATAATAAAAGATAGTTGCATCAAACCATTGTTTCAAATTGACAATTTGATCATATCTATCAATCTATCTATCCATCCATCCATCTAGCCACCCACCCATCTATCCATCTGCATCAAGACAGTAAACAAATTCTTCATCTGAAATAATTAAGAGGAAGTTAGCATCTGGCCCCTACAGAAAACCAGTGTGGTACAATGGTGATATTGTTGGATGAGCAACTCAGGAGATCCAGGTTCTAGTCACTTTTCAGCCATGAAATTCATTGCATGCCTTTGGAAAATTCAGACATTCTCAGTCTAGCCTACCTCACAGAGTTGTTGTAAAGATAAAATAGAATGGTGGATGATAATGTAAGCCTCCTCGGGTTCCTCATAAGAATAAGAAAGGTAATGCATAAATGTAAAATGAAAATAGTAGTGATAATAATACTATGTAATACTAGTGAAGATAATAATAATGATAAATTACAGCATCTGAATAATCTAAAAACTTATTCTACAAATAACACAATTGTTTTCTATGCAGGCAGTGTGCTTCTTAGCTGGAATTTAACACACCACTATTTACCCTGTTTTTTAGCAACCTGATAGTGATACCGAAATGTGCGTTGCCCTAAGAGCTGGTCATATGCTGAACCAATCTTAGTGATCATCAACATTTCAAGCAGGAACCACTTTGGTTTCGGGAACTACCACCAAGTCCACTGCAGGTAGCCAATCACATTGCCCATTTCCCTCTAGAGTTCCTTTCCCGCCACAGCTCCTACATTCTCATCTTCTTCCTCCCCTGGAGCCACCTTACCCCAGTTGAGTGGCGGTTTTGCTGCCTCCTTAACGCCAAAGCCTCCTCTGCTAGTGCGGGTATTGCAGCAGCTGGCCTACTGCTAAAGCAAACAGGACAGAGTTAGAGAGACCCCGCTCAAAGAGATCAGGGACCCTGGAAAGGGGGGGGGGTGCACCATGGATGCTCAGAAACTGCTGGTGCCCCTCTGACCTTGGAGTGAAGACCCCTGTTAAAAGAATTGCTTCTGCACACCTACAAAGCTAGGCCAGTTTCATTCACCACACATTTCCATTGATAGACCGTTTCACCCTCAAGGCTCAGAGGCCCTCCAGCTCATCACGTACTCCATGATAGCCAACTGCTGTATGCATTAGGGAAATAGTTCCTTCCAAATACCAAGACAGGCAGAGACAGCACAGCTAAAGCTAGTTACAGCCAGCCTGGAAAGCAAGAACATGGCACTAGAACAATGGGAGGAGCAGAATGGTGGGGGAATCCAATATTAAGTCAGCAGTATAAAAGTCAGGAACTTGCGCAGTTTGGGTGGATGCTACACGAGAACCTGTTTTGCCTGTGTGTGTGTTGTCCCCTTTATTCCAGAATAAAGCTGCCTCCTTCTGAAGATGCTGTCTTGACTGGTTAGTTATTAGTCAGGCACACCAGGCAAACTCACCACCTTACAAGGCTTCCCAGATTTCGGTAGCAACATTATGTCTTGTGAGCTATCTGGTCATGTGAATTATCCTAATTTAGTAACCATATGAAATCCTCCTGTTTGCAAAATCAGGCAGTTCTTGCAAGGAAGCCTATCTCTTGATCCCGTATTTGTTTGTTATGGATAATGGACGGCTTTAAGTAGCTTGTCAAAATCTGCCTGGAAAGATTGCATCTATAACACCAGCACTAATCACTCCAAGGTAACATTGCACGTTTACTCTGCACTGTTCACAAAATGGAATATAATGGCAATCCTGAATGGTTCAAGATATTGAGCAGATACAGCAAAATAACATTGGTATGAATCACTAGTGATATAAATAGTATGGTCATGTGTACCACAGCTGGTAACAAAACAACGTATCTGCACAAAAAATAAATGACTAAAGAAACAGGGTCATTAAAACTGTTGCCAAGGATTATGTAAAATAACTGTTTCCTAAATTGAATTATGCTCGGCTTATCAAACTAGCACTCCATGATGGAACATGATTGATGGGAGAACAGATTTAAGCTGTCTCTTCAGTTAATTTTAAATGCTGGTATTTTTCCAATAATACATCTGCAAATACTCTGAACTATAGAAAACTAAGGAGTTTTTCCTCTTTTTAAAAGAAAAAAGTAATTAAGAGTGAGGATCATAACTTGTAGCATTCCTAAAGTTCTATAAGTTATCTTGACAGTCAATTTGTCAGTGTTGTAGTTTGCCCTTGGCTTTTTTCCTGTAGTACCTTAAACGCTTAACTGATCACAACAACGTGTAGTGACATTTGGAAACTTGAAAAAGATGATATGCCTAGGCTTTGCACTGTTTCACAGTAAGATGGTGGGAATGTACTGAAAAAAGTGGCAATAAAACAGGGCTGTAGTTGTCCAGACTTGGCAAGGATGAGTGCACTCTGCAGGATAGAGGATGCAGGTAAGGGAGGGCCTTAGAAAAGGACGTGAAAGGGCAAGAAGCTTTTACCTACTTAGAGGTCACAGGTTAGAAAGCAACAATGGCCAGGATCCTTCAGTGCCCTGGATGAGTCCAAGGAGACAAGAAGGTGAACTTAGTTCAAGTGAATGCATTGCTTCACTGGATAATAACAGACTCACCCATGTAAACTCAGATGAGCATTGTCCCTGAAAGCCACCTCTTGTTCTGTGTAAATGAGCTTTTGCACATGCTCGATACAAAAGTGCATTTTAGAGAGGTAGTTCGAAAAAATAGACTGAGCCATGTGTCATCACACTATGTACCCTTTTGTGATTGGCCATTTTTGTCTAGTCTCTCACAGAAGCATCCACTAGCACATTTACTTGCTGAAAAAAGTAAAAGAACTATACGAATAACAAAGACCCAAATCTGATCTGACAAGAAGAAGAGAAAACTGTGACAGCATCCCCGTTGACAGGAAGCAAGAAAAGGATTAATCCAATCCACTCTGTGCACACACAGACATTACCTTGTTTAAATACAGACTGTGCATGCTCAGAAGCTCCAAATTTATTAGCAAATTTGTAAAACGCTGGTCCACGCTTTATAACAGGTAAGCATTATGAATGGGTGACATTTAACCAGCAAGCTGACTAATTAGAAAATCCAGGAGTATCACTACTTCTGAGAAGGGCTGGCTGACAGTCTGTGTAGTCTCCTGGTCCAACTGCCTCCCCAGACCCTGCACCCTTGTTGGAGAAGGGAGACCTTTAAGTGGTAGGCCTCTGGCACGCACCTGGCCCTTGACTAATATCGGCACCGTGTCAGCAGGGGAGAGTAGATCTGATACGCCAGAGACCCCTGTGGGCTCTGGCCTGGGACAGCACTCCCTGGGCGACTGGACCAGGAAAGTCAACAGGAAAATAATCCAGGACATTGACAGCATCCATTTTTAAAAATCCATAGCGGTCAGCCAAAACTGGTAGCAGGAGTGACAAAAGCTACACGTAAAATCTAGAATTAAACTCCTTGCCTCCCCCTTGTCACGGCTTCCTCTGAACACTTCACTGTCAATATGTGCTCGTTCTTTCCTTGCTGTTCAGCTGTAGTCTGTTCTGGAGCCAATGTCAACATGACATTAAACGCATGATTGCATTTAATAAGTCTAGTATTTTTCTTCTAAACAAAAGCCATAGGAGGTGATCAGGGTCAAGTCTGTAATAATGGGGGGGGGGGGACTCTCCTCCCATAATGTCATTCCAAGGCAAAGCAGAGCCCACCTTAAAACTCTGCTGCTATTAGTCCTGGGAAGGGAGCTTCCCAGCAAGGGGAGAGACACAATTTTAATCAGAAGGAGGCTTAAGACCCCGCCTACATGCTGTTATCCTGGTGCTGTTGAGCCACGCTCCACCCGCAAAGGGGACGGCAGGCACATTAATTGTCACACGTGTTTTAGATTTCAGAAAGCAGCATGGTACAATAGTTCTGTATTCCCCCAAATCAAACATTTACAAAATGAAGATGTTTAAAAATGAGTGTAAAGTGAGACATGATTGGCATGCCATCTGGAGGAAGATTATACGAGAAGGGACACAATGGGAGACTTTGCAGCAGGAAATATTGTGGCAACAGAATATTGCCAGGGGTGGGGGAATACCATCTGTTCGCAGGAAGAACAAAAATATGCATGGCATGGAGAGAGAGGATAGAAAGACGTACTCTCCCTCTCGATGACAGAACCCAAAGGGGTCCTCCCACAAAGATGGTTGGTGGGAGATTCAATTCAGACAAAAGGAAGGACTTTTGCACCGGGTGTAGGCAGGCGATGGAATTCACTTACACAAGATGTATCAGTGGCCACCAGTGTGGATGGCTTTAAAAGAGGGTTCAGTAAATTCGTGGGGGAGCAGGCTGTTGAGAGCTACAGGCCCCGAGAGCTAGATGTGACCTCCAACTCACAGGCAGTATGCCTAAGTACACCGGATGCCACGGAAGCTGGGCGGGAATGTGCTTTGACAGTCATGTCCTGCTTGCTGCTTTCCCATGGCCAGCTGTTGGCCACTGTGTGAACCGAATGCTAGACTAAATGGACTCTTGCCCTGATCCAGCAGGACTCTTCTTATGGTCTGAGAATAAAACCGCTGGTAGAATGGATTTTCCTGCCTCCCTGCTCCTCCTGCCCTCCTCCCAAATCTGTTCTGCACCGTTCAGGGGAGCCCTCAGTGTGGAACATACAAAGATATCTGCTAGATCAGGGCAAGAGTCTACCCAGTCCAGTCTTCTGTTCATGCAGATTCAGAGTGTGTAGGGTTCTGGTGGAGGGGGGAAAGGAGGAGCCGTATTGTGTGAGTGGAACTCCACTCACATGGTGCAGTATGAAGCCCCAAATGTTTGACTGATGTTATGATATGAATGTGTTTTTATAGGTAAGAGAAATTTTTGAATGACAAAGAAATACCAAAAGGTAGCCATGGGTAAAGTAAGAAAGAACAACTACTATGTGTAAATATTTTTGTTTTAGTAATATGATCCGATAAGAACTTTTCTCAGGTTGACTATTTAAATGCTATCAA